TTTAGGGAGTGGTACACATTTCATCCCAAAGAGCTAACCAAATCCATGTAGGCCTTTTACTGGTTTGTGGCTATGCTTGTTCCCACTGCTGAATTCGTACAGTTGTGTCGTGGTGTGGTGTGAAATGTCTTGTTTTCTCTCAAAAGTAGGTGGGACAGGACCCAAAACACCTTTCTTTTTCCAAATAATTTTTAGGAACCCAGGGAAGGAAGGAGAAGGTGATGGATGGCCTAAGCATGCTAATAAATTTCTACTTCAAAAAATAAACTCAATCTAGCACACGCAAATTATTCACGAGACGAATCTGACATTCTTCATCGTCGCACAACCAAGGAACAACAAACCACTTTCTCTCCACTCGAACTCTGGTGTCGAACTTCTTAGCAACGCTGTACAATCAGTCACTCGTGCACAAATGTCATGTCATACTCCATTCTTCCACCTGCCTTGTTTTATTACAAAACGCCATTAGTCATACTTTCCAGAACTCTACGGTTATTTCTGAACTTATGCAAATCAAGCATTTTCTTCTAATGGAAATTCTAAATTTTTACAAAACAAATGAAATTATTTATTTACAATGAACCGAACAACTATTTGAACACCTGATGGAAGTATGCATGCACGTACGCTGGCGTGTGCTCCTTCTGGCAAATTTCAACAGTCAGTCACTGGTTGGTAAAGCAATTACATTTTAAAAAGGTGCTTATGGATTCTGATAGAGCGGCTCGACGGGGTTTCTGAAATACATCACTCGAGAGTAACACAACAACAAACTAGTGTTTTCCAGAAAAGTCCAGATCATGAAATACATATTAGTCAATGTGTGTGTGCAGCCCATTATTTTCCAGCCACAATATTTTTTCCCGTCCTATTCCGTGTTCATATAGCTCTTTGTTTCTTGCAAATAAATATTTCAGCTGACATATTATGACTGCACGGTTTTCTTTCCTCCTTTCTCCACACGTTGAAGAGGTTGGCATTGTATCCACCAGCCAGCGAAGCATGACGGGAGTTAGTGTCGAGTCGTGGGATTGTGGATGATTTGCCAGTCATGGGCTCATGTACCGTTGGTGGTGGGAGGGAGTAACGGGAATAAATCAAAGGGAGATTATGACATTTGCTGCAGTGAAAGCGGTCGACTTTCGACAATGAGGGTGTGGGTGGGCGAGTAAAGTCGCTATATAAGTTAAATTGGAGTGACAAAGAGCTGAGTGAAATAGGACTCGAATATTTATTATCTCAGCCAGGCCCCGTCATCCTAAGACCGCTGCTGAATGGGAAGCGAAGAGGGTTTGCTCACTCCTCCTCAATGTTGCAGTGTGGACGAAGGTAGATGGATATGCACACAGGGAGACGACGTACACAGTCGTCGGAAGAATTTGCGGAGAAAGTTGTGACTGCTAAAATGGGGAATTATTATATTCGAGTCTCATACAGTGTGCTGAGGTGGACCCGATCTTATTATATTATTATGTTCATAGGATGTGAATATTATAAATTATTTGCTACACTCCAAGTGAGTCCCTCGATCCGTGTTTCCTTTCCGTCTCCACAGGAAAGGAAGGCAGGAAGGGGAATTCTGAGTAGGTGAAAGTGAAGTCACGTTGCGGCTGTATTCATACTTATAAGATGCACGTTTGGTTTGGTTATGACGACTGTCTGCTTAATATTAGATGGAAGCTGTTATTATTGATTGTGGTTTGGTGGAGATGCACCACAAGAAGGAGAAGGAGACGTTTAAATGGGTTTCATCTTCTCTAAAATGTGCAAACGGCCGGAATTTCGATTGCAATGGTCCTAATAATTGTTATGTTTTGTTGGAACTAAACGGGTTTTTGCGGTTAGTTCAGCATTCACAGTCAACAGTATTTCACTATTTTATTGTTTTACTTCGAATGATGGTCATGAAAAATTGAAAGTATTGTTGATATGTGGATCGTGATGGCATTTCTATGTGCTAAATATGTTCTCTAATTTTTCTTTGTTGTATGCACCAGCATTTCAGCGTGTACAAATTAAGCCGGATGTTGAACTCCATTATCATTCTGCTCAGGAACCACCCCATTAAATTCGTAATACCCATCTCAGCAACTCTCTTGACAAATACGCCCAATCAAATGGACCACACTTGAACAATAAACTGTATACTGCATTGCATCCTCACAAGAGAAACGGCTTCTTGCCTACACGTATACTGTGCGTATTGTCCAAAACTCTATCTTCCTTGGCTCCCATCTATTTCATCTCGTTTGCACAAGGCAAGAAGACGGGGGCGAGATGTGGAATTGTTGTATTTGTGGTATTTTTGTAGAACAGCACAAACACACAGATAGAAAATGGCGTAAAACATCCTTCTTATCGGCAATAACGAAATGGTGTTGGGCTGTGTGGCATTAGACAGCCAGTTTAGAGTTATTTACGTGTCCCAAAACGCAAACAATGACCATCACAGGTGATTGATAGGTTTCGTAGTTGAAGGGAAGTTTCTATCAGAAATTGGATTCCATTTAATGTGAATTGTGTTTAGGAATTCAATAAAGAATACTTTCAAGACGGTCCTTAAATTCCAAACCTGTTAACACTACACAGAATCATCCTCTCAAAAATTCGAAATGACCCTTATGTATTAGACGTTTGACAAGGTACACACATTTTCCGCAAATCATTGAATTTTTATGCATATACAAAAACATTTTCAAGTCACTGACAAATTTTTTTAGAATCAAAAGTAAGAAATTTATAGGGTAGCAGGATCTCCAGTGTCGCCATAAAAAATCATGTACAAAGAGGTTATGATTATTTCACACAATTTTTCCTGGACATTCATCAGAAAAGATCATATAGTGTGTATAGTACCAGACTAGAAAATTCCTCAAACTACGAGATACACATGATTGCACATGGATTGAAATAAATGAGGAGTGCGGTGTTTTCATTTTATATTACATCACAAATGGAAAAACGATTCGTCCGGTATTTCTGTCGTGCGATGAGTTTTGTGATCTGCGACTGCCTCGAAATGAAAGTTTGCTCCGTCATTCCCCCAGTGCTGCAGGGATTTTGGAAAGCAGCTCTTGGGCTCAAGGGCTTAGGTACTTACTTACACTCCACAAAACGGACATTACGCCACATTTCATAATATGAAACAGCCAACCCAACCATGGGCAATCTGGAGGGAATCTGTTTGTTTACAGTAGTAGTGTTGTTCTGAAGAATGGAAGAAAGTCCGGGTGCATGGGTAGTGTATCAGTTTCTTTCTACGGGTAGTCAGTCAGTCAATAAAAGCGAGAGTTTGAAATTTTCCAGTTGTAAACCGTCTGACTCTTGAAATTTCAACCTCGCACGAAAGGAGCACAATACTCCCGGAACACAATGGAGCGTGGTTTCACTTTTCATTTAAACCGATTCGGATAAGGGTTAGGTCATATAGCTTTAGAACAAGTCGCACCACCAACTACCAGCACTACCATCAGCAGCACTCCGTACGTACCTCCTCGGTCAACTATGCTATGCAAAGGACAAAGAGATGGTGGGACCAAGCCAACAACGTTGCTTCTTTCGCCATGTGTAGCTTCGATTTCATCCCACAGTCTGGATTCTACTTATTTGGACGCTCACAAGGCAGCAGCCGAACCGTGGTCCAATATTCATTTTGAGCCGAGTGGAGAGTACAATACAAGAGTGCGAGCAATTTGAGATTTGCTTCGGAGAAGACCTTTATTGAAAATTTGGTGGTCTGTCTCTTTGAAAACTTTGTTTGCCTAAAAGTCAAGTCAGCCATACTAAAACTCATTCATTCATTCCAAGCTATACAATTACTTGCCCTCAAGACACAGCATTGCTGCTGAATAAAAGGGCAAGCACTTTTGTTAAGTCTTGGATGCAAAATCATTTGACGAAGGGTTGAAACTTTCCTGAAACTGACATGACATTATGCTCCCTACCCGTCGTTCGTTTCGGGCTATTTTCCACAGTCGCCAACTAAACTCTCCTCTTCCTCAAAAACTTTAACAACCCGGTTCACTATTCAAATATAATGGCGCCCACTAATTTTCATTATTTCCTTTGATTGCTGCCAACCAGACCCACCAACGAAATATTGTGTAAATAGGGGTCGAGCTCAAAAGGGTTTCTAGTACAAATTACCGCTCCTGCTGCTGCAACTAACTAGTGTATAAGTCAGTGGCCAGGCTAATTTTAGAGTTTCATCCATCCATTGTCCTATTGTTAACTTGATCTCATTTCCTCCGTCTGGTTGTTACCACTTGAATCCCTCCCACTTGCAGCACATTTGGAATTATGACGAGGAACTCGGAGATTTCGAGATGATTTCCTTAACTAGCAATAAGCACCTGCATCTCTCTCTCTCTAATGAGCCAAATAAAAGAGTAGCAGTATTTTCTATGCTGTTCATTGAAACTGAAAGCACTTCATATTTGTATCCATATGTTGATGGAAATAGAAATCGTAGAAAACACAAACATACTCCATCGCTCTGTTTCCTAATTTGACATGAACTTGTTTCATCTGCTCCTTTGTCATCCCAATTAGAGTGATTACGGATTAGGACCCCTATAACGTCAGATAAACGAATCTTATGCTGGATGAGATGTTATCTTATTACATTTCTGTAATGGAAAGCAAGACATAAATAAGGCGTCTAATAATAAGGCTTTCGTGTGTAACACTTTGAGTAACATATTTCATAAGGTTACAACCCATCAATCCAATTTCGGTTGGAAATCTTTGTCTCACTCATTATTTCAATCAAATTAGGTGTGCAGTAACATCGCTAGTCTCTGTCTGCATTGAATGTATTTACAATTTGTAGAAAATCATAATCTGAATCATCCATTTTAATGGCTGTTTACAACAATTCTGGTATCAGGAATTTAGCGTGGGGCTAATTTGCGTATGATTGCATACCGTGTCTGAGAGTCATAAACCATAAAGAATGTTTGTTATTATTATGCTATAACGAAATTACTAACTCTCAGGTTGAATAATGAGGAGGCGGGTGGAGCTTGGTGTCCTAAGGTAACTTTCTTTAATAATTATGGCTTTAAAGTAATATAGTCAATTACTTTGTAAGATGTAGAATAAAAACGTTCCGAAACATAAATTATTTTATTGTACAAAAAGGAACCCATATCAGCCGGAGCTAGAAAGCGAGAGTGGCTTCAGGTGGGTAAAATATGTATACAAAAGCAATTAAAACACCATGTGCATCCACTAATTAAAAAAGCTCCTTCCACTTAAATAACAACTTGCGCACACTGCTAAATTTCAGATATCCCTTAATGAGACACATCTCATCTCTGGTGTCCAAATCCAAGGACGTCACGGCAAAGGTACGGATAGCCTATTTTGGCCGATCTCACCCTTCCAAATTATTCAAAGAATTACACAACAAGTTAAAACTAAGATGAATATTGAATGTTACGCAGGGACGGGTCAGGAGTTTACGGAGGAGTTTGAAGTGGAGTACTGGCGAGAAGGATTCCAAGCATGGAGAAAGTATTACAGATTCGACTCAAAGAAGGTGAGAGGAGTCAAGAACAGAGCGTGAGACTAATTTATTTGGGCAGCCAGAAAGAAAGAAAGAAAGGACGCTCACACACATGGACGTGGGAGCAAGGAGGTTGGGTAATAAAATTGCCATTAGGCAACCTCACAACCTCCATCATCACGCTCCTCTCATACACACTCGACACCACCAGAGTCCAACACACAGGACGACCTTTCTCCACCACTTACACCCAAGTGCCACCATCGCATCGCCCACTCTCCCATACGCCACGCTTTCTCCTCCACGCCGAGTTTCTTGCTAATAATACAGTTATTTCGGAGGCAGTTTGACAAAACAGAAATTATTACTTGTCTTCTTCAAACGACTCGAATAACAAATTGCCGCTCTAGATTTTTTATTCGAATGAATTAGATCGGATAAAAGTGAATGTCTAATATTATTTTTGAGATGATTTACAATTCGTGTAATGATTGATGAGCACATTGATAATAATAACGTACAAACGCTGTACGATCGTATAGAACTTCTTAGGAAATTCCTCAAAATATCAGAAGACACGGGCAGTATTGTGCTTTCACCGCCTTTTCTATTTCGTGCTAATAAATCTTTGGCAACTCTTTGGCTCTCAAATTATTTTTTGCTATTCAGAAATTGTAAGTAATTGATTGAACAATAGATTAAGTTTTTCTATAAAGTTATCTTTGCACCACTTCCAGCTCTCTTATGTCTATTGGTGGGGATCATTAAATTAATCTGACTCCCTTTTCCACTAAATCCCAATTAGTTACAGAGTCAAGGAATTTGTATGCAAGTAAAGAAAGCTATCCACACAGTTAATTAAACTATTAGTTAAAAGCTTTGCGGTGTACAGGTTCATTAGTGGTGAAAGTCCTTACTTATCTTTAGAACGTCGCAAATTGACAGCCTGATTACCGCAGCGTCTGAACACGTATAGACTTTTACAAAGATTAATTAAATAAATGTACATAAAATCCTTTTTGCAGATATTTCCTGGAAACTCGGACACTGTTACTGCCGTTACTGCCAAATTGAGACCTCCACTTATTGCAAAGATGATTCGAATTCTCCCATATTCGAAAGGTGTGCGGACCGTTTGCATCCGCATAGAGCTTCTTGGATGCCCTTGGAAAGGTAAAATGCTTTGTTTAGATACAACTTACTATATCAAAACTTTATAAAAAGTCAGGTTAGACACAATACGCAGCCATTGATGCATTACATCCTATAGTGAAAGTAAGTAATGTTAAAATGTGGTGACACGGGTGTTTCGTCCTTGACTTTACTGAATCGATTGTAAATACACTGCTACACCCGAGCAAATACGCACATTTAGCAATATCGTCGTGGTGGTAATTCCAGCAGCTCCACAAGCAGAGGAGCATCATTTGGAAATACTTTGGTGTAGGAGGAAGGAAAGGCAGGCTGAATAATATGAGAGGAGGGGAAGGGAATGTGGAGTGCAGAGGTTAGAAGTTAGGACAACAGAGATAAATTACTTGATGTGCTACAATGCAACTCACTGCATTCACAACCATAACACTACAACCACCACCGCAAATATTATTGTAGCGGTTGTAGAAATGTGTTTGGCGTAGGTTGACTTTGTCTCTTTTCGAACTGAAACGTGCCATGCGGTTGTGTCCTATTAGCAAAGTCGTCTTGCATCATATCGCTCCTATCAGTTTTTGAGGACGAAACCCGATGAAGGCATACGTACGACTGCTAGGGCGAGGAGGAAAAAAGGAAGAGAAAGTTAGCCAAGCATTGTGCACTCTAATTCACTTTCTTCCAGACAAATGGTTCTCAATTCCTGAGAGAAAGTATTATGCTTCCTCTCTGTCACAGCAGCTCAAAACTAACCACAAGGGCAGGAAAGAACACGTTCGTATTGTCCACGAGATGCTTTATGGCGAAAGGCCAAAAAGTGAGAAATTTTGTCCGTACGGATATATATTTATGAGGAGCTGTAGTAGCAAAACATTTACTATGCGATCAATAGGAAATAATAATAATTTGCTTTCTCCATCATCTCGTAAAGATGTAGCAAATTAGAACATGGAGATACCGTCTTCTCAACCTAGTCAAAATCATTTATTTGGAAACTGTCTTCGCCGTCATTCCTAAACGACGCAATGACATTGATATCGAATTTGACTGTGAATCGATTCTTGACATCAACCCATCCACGACAGGCACACGGAAAATGCATTAGAGAAGGAAATGCAAGTGCGCTTTTCCCTTCGTCCGCAGTAGCTACACGTACGTACGTATAAGGTTGTTTGATCTAAGTTGTACGTAAATGACGGTCTCCTCAATCCAGACCACATGGCTCGCAAAGGCTAATAGTCAGTGGAGGACGAGTATGTAGTTAGTTAAGTGTGATTTACGACTGATATCAAACTTCATTCTTCAATGAATTTTGCTGGTGGGGTTTGCTATCACGCTCATGTGCTCACATTCTTTTATCGCTCTTATATTGCGCATTAAGCGTGGCATTATTGAAGTAATCTTTACGCAACTTCAAGTCGCAAGCCTGCACTCGCCAGGCAGAGGCAGAACTTGGACATAATTTTTAGACAGTCGCTTTGTTTACACGCTGCGCCACATTTTATTCATTATCCACGAGAAAATTTGGGACCTTCAGCGCATCCTGCTTGCTGTACTTTATATATTTTCTTCCTGAGAACTGTTCACCTTGCAAAAACGTAATTGCACAATTTCCACGAAAGTGAAAAAAACATGACCTTGCATTTTATTCAGGAAAACTCAGGCTCAGTTCAATTTCCTTTAAATGTGGTTTAATCAAGAGAAAGCCACAACGGAGTGGGCAGGGAAACGTGGGTGAGTGAGTGCATTGGAATACTTGTCTTTGATGGAAGTCGTAACTTGCTCCAAGTGCATCCTACTTATTGCTTTGTTGTACTTTGAAAGTAAACATTGGAATAAATAACAGGCTTTGCGGCGACAGTGGGATAGCGGAAGGGCAATTTCAACCCATCGTCCACATACGGTGCTACATATGGTCGGGTTTACTTAGTTATTGTTCAATCCGTCCCCACGCGAGCATTACTTACTTTATGGTTATGGAAAGGATTATGTTTTCTCTATCTGGAGGGATGGTAATGATGTGACAAGAAGTAGAGAAAATTCTTCGCCTTCTTGTTTTCCTCGTCAGCATCGTCGACTGACAATTTTTTTCCTTTCACAAATTCAGGCGGACTGATCCAGTACACGGTGGAGCAAGGGTCCACTTTTTCTGAAGGAATCTCCCTCCGTGATGACTCGTACGATGGTCAGGGAGGAAGTAAATGGGACAAGAGCGTAGAGTCGTCGTCACAACTGGGGGATTACAATGAGCAGCATGCTGGCTCCCAAAACAGCTTTCAGATCGTTCACCAACCTGATTCGCCTAATCTTGGGTTGTACTTTGATGGGGAAAGCAGTGGGCCAGTGATGTTGACGGGTGGACTGGGACAACTATCAGACACAATTGAAGGGGCCAATTCTTTTACGATGGACATTGGATACGGACTTGGTGAGTAAAAGACCAAAAAATGACTTGTAAAACGTGTTGTAATTTGCATGAGGCTTGTCAACATTGTTTAACTTGCATTATTCTGAAATCTTGGAGGATTACAATGCTAATGTCTTTCTATGCTTACGTACGAAATACATGGTTTTCAACAAGCATATTGTTATCACTATTATCCAGTTAACATGAAATACGGACACAAATATCGCAATTCGAGTCCGTAGAAAAAATAACAGAAAATGTAGTCAAGCAAAACATTCAGCTCCTCCTCCGCCCAAATTGACGGAGAGAATGTCTTCACAACTATCTACAAATGGCCAAATCACGTACCTTTTACTGTGACAAGTTTGACACAACATTCAATACAGAGTTGACACATGTCTAGAGTGTGTTTCGAGCTTCATGTCACTCAGACAAAGAGATGAAGAGATCAGACCCAAAGGGAGCTTGTCTCGCTACTTTTTGAACAAGTCAACCATACACGTTTGACATTGGCAAGATTGGAGGAATTTCAGTACAAATCCAACTAAACCATGTTATTTAGCCCGTAGCAGAAACCGTTGTTGCCATAATTTTCGAAAAAGAGAGCGTGTTCCTCTACACAATGATCAACCACAAGTCTGCATACTCGTACGTATCTACTTTCCTCTCACTGCATTATCATCATCATCATGCAAGTGGCACAGGCAGGATGCTAAAATCCGATTAATTCATTAACGTACGCCACATCCAATTTTATCACTTTTCCTGTTGCCGATTTAGACATCAGGATATGTCGTTTTGATTTAGTACCTTCATCGCAGCCACATATACACCAGGATGAAAATGCAAAATAGCGTTGTAAGCTAAGCTTGGCAATTTGCTCGCTCGGTTCAACCCTTTGTCGCCAAGTCGGAAGCAGAGCTGAAATTCGATTCTGCTCGTTATGCAAGTTGTGTTGTCCTCCTGCTTGGGTTGCTTATTCTGTTCTCTGCACTCGTTGATACTCTTATCGACTGAATCTTTGGACTTGTGTACTCGGCGTGGAGGTCGGTTGGTAGGCAGTGCTGTAGTGGTTGTTGCAACAAATTGAAGGTACTACTGGTGGTAATAACATGCATGTTATTAGTTAGATTTGGATTGAAATAGTACAAGCATTTCCGTAGTACTGACTTCCTACTTGTGTGCTACCTTCACCCCAAAGTTCACACGAGCTACGTACGTACACCAGCCAAAAAGTCGCCATCACGGAAACGATAACATGCATGGGGCAGAGGCTAACTAACCAATATTTTGAACCATCTCGCAACTACGTCGAGGAGCAGAACACTGTTGGCTGCACTTTCTAATGGGATAATGGGGTGACTGCCTGGGATAAGCTAATTCTCCACGGACTCACCAGTACCTCCAACCATGGTGCACTCGTATTCATGAAGGAAATTGATTTATTTGCATTTACATATTAATTGGTCCCTTTCCTCGCACTTGCTCCCGTACTCTAAAAGTTGATACTCTAATTTTAGTCTAATCCGTCTCCACCTTAATTGCCTCAGCAGCGTTGGGTTGAGCAGTAACGTTTAAGATTTTTATGTGACATATCACATGAATATTTATAGGCTTTAATCCTCCATAAATATTCCACGCGATAAAGAACTATTTACCAGCTTGATATAATTGAGGCGTTGTACACACATAAATTGCAGAAGATTAATTTCATGTAACATAAGCGGCACTATCGGTTAACATATCAGAATATGGTCGACACAGTCGTTAGGATTACTAGGAGACTTTCCCCCTTCGGCTAAAGTAAAAGTAGGAAAATTAAATGAGCCGTCGCAGAAAGTTGTATATTTTTATCAATAAAGGCAGCTCCCTAATGTTCATTCTCTTGTAGAGTCCATGATATTCGAATTAATGTTCTTGTGAGGGAAAGTCAAAGCAAAAAGCATAAAGCAATTTTTATGAAAATTTATGTTTGTACTCGGTTTCATTTTTTATCAAACCTCTAGTATTCCAAATTAACGGAAACACGGAGTTTCAGGACCCTCACGTGAACTCATTTCTTGCGGTGGAGACAACTTTCATAAAACAGGAAAAGGGGAGAGCTCTAAAAACCTTGCCGTCAAATTCAGGCTGAAATTCAGAAAATGCAAGCTCAACACAAAGAACTTGGCCTCAAACAAAGCAAGATATGAATGAATCAACATTATGTCCTTGATTTCAGTGTAATTGAGTGAACTTGGAGGGGACAGACAACCTGCGTAAACAGGAGAAGAAATAGATAGCTCACATTTGGATCGAAAAGGGTGATTTAATGTGCACAGCCAATTTGGTTGGGGAGAAAGGGGAAGTTGTAATACGACTTCTTCCTATTTCTACTCGTTGTGCATATTTCCTGATATTCTACGTATTTTGGTTTTGTGGAAAATTGTGTTACCGCTGATGCCAGCCACACAAAGGGTAATCACAATAACCTTGTAACTGGATTGAGTCATGAAATTCGATTAAGAAAATTCTCTAACCTATTAATCGACTGTCAATTTATCAAATGCAACCCTGCATCATAACTTGAGAAAATTGATAATTTTAGGCCCAATATGATTCGATTCATCTATACAGAAGATAGATGTTTTAACAGTCGATACCCCAAAATCATGGAAAGTCGATTATTGAAATAATATACAGATTTAAAATAATCGTAAATGAAAATGTGGTCTTTAATATGCCACTACTTTGACGACTAGGTCTAAAAATTACTCCATAGTTGAAAATACGCTTGTTAAAAATGATTTAAAGACATGACGGTAATATTAGTCTGTCGCATAATATATATTTTGGGTGCTATATACATGTAGATACCACCTGCATTACCTGTGAACATACTTGGGTATGTAATTCCTTAAAAAATTGGAGGTGTGTGGTGAGTTGGTGGCAATGTGGATGACTTGCACTTTCCTTTTCCTATTATGCGTCTCATTCCACTTCACCGCCGTGGTTTGGTTACAGGAGTGAGCGGAGGCTGAATGATCACAGGTTCTGTTGAGGTCTTTTATCCACAGCGTTAAGACAGTGAAGCCTTTTGACGTTTGGTGGGAGAAGAAGTTTCAGTCTTTCGGTGACTCATTTGTCAACAAATGTTCGCAATGTGATGTGCGTACTTTTCCTGGGAAGAGAAAGTTGGTTCTCACTCTGCACAATATGACAAGTCATAAGAGAACCATCTACGCTGGTTGAAATTCAGCGCGATATGACATCCGGTTGGCACAAGCCCATATTTTAACTAGCTTATCTCACCCTCCAGATTTCACTTTTTGTCATTCAACCACCACCAGCAGCAGTCTTTCTTATTCTTTTACGAGCAAGTGGGTGAATGACTGAGTAGCCAAGACGGGTGCCACGCCAGGCTATGTACACCACCCATTTTTCCTCCTTCTTCTCACCAAGCCCAGAAACAAATCCAGCCCTAATCACCTTAACAGGAAAAATTTGGGTTGCGTGTAGTTGGAACGAGGATTTTATGCAAAGTGAGGTTATTATTGGCCCACAAATTGCATGCACTACAAATTAGCAGAGTGAGAAAGAAACTTGATTCCAATCTCGAGTCCCCTCTGCATGCTCCCCATACACTCCGACTTGCACTCGGACGAGTGAAGGCAGGCAAGATAAATGTGTGTTGATAATGCCACCACCCCGTTGAGCAGAGGCTTTATAACTTAGCATTACATTACATTTGATAGGGTTACAACGACATTTCTCTTGTGATAGGAGAAACCCAAGAGTTTTTTCTTCCTCTTTTTGTCCTCAATCCAATCCAACCACTTTTCCCTTTTATTTCTTCTCTAATTTTGAACGAGTGGAGGAATGCAAAGCAAAGCAGTGCATGCATTGAGAAGAGAAGAGTTGAGGAGAGGAGGAAGAAATGTAGGTGTGTAAGGGCAATTTGACGAGAAAAATGTGATTGGTACGCAGATACGAAAGGAAGAAGAGTTTATCTTCCTACTGGCTTTCTCTCTCCTTATAAGCGTAGTATGGAATAGTATGGAATGCAAAACAGGGCATTCCATCCGTCTCACCCCATTCATTCCGTGAGAGGAGGAGTGGTTGGGAAGAAGTCAGGGAGATTCAGCGGATATTATATTATCTTATAAGTAGCTGATAAAGCCTCGAGGCAATGACATGAACGCAGTTGCTAACGGACTCAAGTGGAGATTGGTCTCTGGAATGAAAGGAAATGACGTGAGGCGAAAGAAAGTGAGGCAGAAGAGAGAGAGCTAAAGTTGTCCGTCTCCGTTGTTTGGAGACCATCATACATACACCTTCCATCGAGTCGAGAACTGCAGAGCTACGCATACCAGGCATGCATTGCTGTTGACTGTAATCCAAGTTTAATGTTATGCGAGGATCAAGACTGGAAAAAGTAGTTAATAGTTGAAATTAAATTATTTAACTCCAACTACAAAAAGCTCTTGTTGTGAACTGGGCCGTATTTTTCCACTTTCAAGAATGGCTTTACAGCAGCAAGGGAACATTTCGTAGAAAAAGTTTATGCAGATTGTCATGTGACTGTCGTGAATATACTGAATTCACACACGGGGTGGAATGATAATTTCCTACTTTATAATAAGAATTTCCCAATTAGACATGTAGCTAAAAAACTTCTTATTGAGTATTTGCACGTATAAAATTAATTTAGTTTGAGATTTTTATGAAAATTTGAAAAAATATGTTCAGACTATAATTCGTATGTCCGGAAGTCGCAGTAATTGAATTTTGGTCCTGAATATATTCTCTCCTTAGCCTAAATTCTCTAAAAAAATAATTAGGAGCACGATGAAAAGATTTTAAATGAAATTGTCGGCTTCTGGGTACACTTGAGAAGGAAAATATTGCTCCCCTAATTAGATTGTGTGGATGGTGATGACTTTTGATGAACTCTTCCTGGAGGCAAGTGAAATGGGATTTGGATTCATAATGATAAGTCGTGCCTTACATATTCCAATTTCCAACTTCAATATGAATCATCACAATCTTCCCCATTTTCATTTTTATTCGCTTATTGAGTTGGTTATGATTGGTTTGGCCAATTGAAAGTGTTGTGTTTCAAGATCCATCATCATGCTACCACGACGTTATATGTTATCTTTTCCTCCTTCCCTCCATCCTTTTCATCACCACGAGTACGCACTTTCCCTTCTCCACTTCAACGAACTCTGCAACACAAATTCTCAAGTCGATCTTGTTATATAAATCAAAAAGTCCCAACATTTGCATTTTCAACAACCCTTTTGTTGGGAATCGAGCGCGTTACTTTTCTTAACTCTATTGACGTGGAAGTCAATAATTTAGAGCTTTGGAATACCCTGATTCATCATGCGAAAGACCTATTTTTGAAGTATTATAAAAAGTATTTTCTCATGAATTCAGTCACATCTCTGGTTTACTGCTGTAGTTTGCATCGGATATAAATTATTTTGGGAAACGCACAGGAAAAACTGTAGCGAGACCATACTGGAAATGTTAAAGCTTGTGGAATGGTTCATGAATCTGTGTTTGTTTAGCCAGAAGTGGCTCTCAAGGTTTATTTTATTGATGGTAATGATGATGATCTTTACTTCTGACAATTCGTTTGCTCTGCTGCGGTTTTGTGATGCTATTGTGCCGTCTGTAGTTGTTGAGTGGACGTGAAGTGTTGCTGGCAAATAACTACTTTACTTGAGTTTGCGAAGGCAACCAAAAAATTTGATGCGCCTCTCGTAGGAGGAAATGAAGAGAAATGAGCACCTTGGAGGATGTGTAATGAATTTTGGTGTCAAATTTTCATGTTTCAGGAAACGGTTGGGTGGGATGGAGAAAACCGGAGGAAGGAAAAGACTGGTTGGAGGTCCAATTCGAGTTTGAACAAGTCCGGAAATTTTCTTCCCTGGATCTCTTTTCGAATAACTTTCCTTCTAAAGGAGTTCAGGTAAGCCAGCGTGATTCCAGAGACATAGCTTGTCTCCACTTACCCTGCGTACGTACATTTTATGGACATACATGTGTGCATATGCTCGTAAATACTTTCCTATACGGGGTTTTATAGTTTATGACTCTTGTTAAGCCTTGTTGGGTTGTGCGTCGTCGTCAATGAGTTCTTTAAACCAGAGTCTTCGATAGACGGTAATAATAATAATGTGCCGCAGTAAAGAGCATATGGGATACAAAGGAAGACATTCTGGTATCTGCCAGCGAGTGAGCAAGTAGTCGTTCATCGCAGCCAATTTGTGCGGCCTGGATAGGTAACTACCCGTTCTTATCTTTCCCGGAGTTGACAGGCGTTCTACTTAAAGATGAGTGAGCAAAGGAAATAAGTAACTGCTCATTTCTTTCAATCCTGCTCAAGCAAAAACACTTCAATAATGGGCAGACAACAAAAAATATGACCGAAATAAAAGTAGAAAACTTCTTTGTTCAAGTTATATAACGATGGGATACGACAGCTATAACCTCGTACGATATGTACGATATGTAGGTTATCTTGTTATATTGGGACCTTAAAAATTGCGAGTTCTGAAGAAAGTTTTCTGACAGTACAACCACGCCATAGCGAAGGATATTTAGGTCATTGCTCCATAACTGCTTTGTCCAAGATGTTCACAGAGCTCAATAATTGACCATTACGTAAAATTTAATGTGTTATAAGGCTGCCTCAACTCATTTGTCTCTACTAGAAAATGTAGGTAAATTGCAAAAACGAATCGTTAAGTCATGGTGGGTCCAAAATAATTGCATGAGATTGTTATTATGGTCATTATAGGGCCACAAATTATCATTTCATTGTTAAATTATTTGTACCAATTCGCACCAATTAACTGTACAAACTTGAGAAAGCTTCACATGTGATAATGGCTAAGGTGGTAGCACATCGAAATGTAAATACATACTTGCATTATAGATACATTTTATTGCACGTTGAGATTAACCTGCCTGTAGAATTGTGTATGTAGATATGGAGCTAATATAATAATTTTAGATTTCGGATAGTTTAGGCATACGTATGAATTTTGTTAAGTTGGTTTTACTTGAAGTCTGTGATTTTAATTTGTCATGATAAAACAGTCCATAACGAAAAGAGTATGCACAAACGTACGAGTAGTGGTGGTAAACATTACGATATATGTAAATGCGTATTATTGCGTATCTTATTTTCTGCCATACATGTACTTAAAAAATAATAGGGGCTAGAGTGGAGAAACCCTGTTGAATAATTCGTTAGATGACGACATGGACACGACGAATGTACAAAAAATTCGACACGCCAAGAGCGTGACTTTGCAAAATTGCACATATCTCGACATTTTCAAGGACTGTGTATGAACTCTTTTCCATTTGATTCCAGATATTTGCAAGAGCTAAAGTGTACTTTAGTGTCGGAGGAGTGTACTTTAATGGGAAACCTGTGACATACGTCCCCAATGTTGACGTCGCTGCAGACTTCGCCCGTAATTTTACAATTCCGTTGGATAGAGTTGCAAGGTAAAAAAAAACAAGTTGAACAAAATTTTGTTGAGTAGTTCTATTCTAATAAAATTTCCAGATTCCCATTAATTGTTTGTTTATTAATGAAATATTTATCCTTCATTTGCCAAAGGTTTATAAAAGTACATCTTTACTACCGAACTTCATGGATCGTCTTGGGCGAGGTCTACTTTCACTCAGGTTAGCTCTTTCCTTCACAATTGTGCACTACACATCTTAGTTATCAAAGATAGTTATGGTGCTGAAGAAATGAATAAATGCAACTGCTCACTTTTTCACTCACGTAAATAGTTAACTCAATATTTAAAATTAAATCTGCCGAGAACATGATGAGTCTGCATGACATGAGGAATACATATGTGTGGCTCATCATTTTTATGGGAATGCTATTATGCTTTTGTTGTTGGAATCAATTGCAATATTCTTTCTTGTTCAGTAGGAAAGATTTTGCATTGACTTTGTTTTCCTTTGAGTTCCGTTCTGTTGGACGATGACGACGACGTTGAGAGATAACAATGCCAACATTCAACATAAAGGGATTTGCATGAACTCAAATAAAAGATCACTCGTCACGAATGATATTGGATTTCTTGAATTGGATTTTTCATCCCATATTGAATGCATTGGCTCTAATAAAACGGCATGTAGCATAAGATAGTCCTCCATAATAATAAGTTGTATTGGCTTTTTATACATTGTACATATGTTGTGTTTCTCCTCACTTTTGGCTGTTCCTTCTGCATGAGAGATCAAGTGAGAGAAAGGAACAAATGCAAGGTAGACAGACGTGTTCTCAAGGAAAGTTTTGTAACTGTAACCTACACAACATGCTGAACAGAGCTCAATCTTTGCCAACAAATTGGAAATGGGATTTCTGTAGAATTTTGATGTCATCTAGTCACATGCATAGATGCGCATCTATCTACCAGAATCTACCTATGCTCTTCGTTCGAATACTGCTCCTCCACTTGCATAATTCTAAAAGAAAGTTCTTCAGGGGATTCTAAAAAAGATAATGGGGACGTTATGCAAATGTTGAGGCTGTTGGTTTACAAATATTTTTGTAAAAGTGAAAATTTACGTGGTAAGATATGCGGCGATCGTACATACATGCATTGCATATGTATGTGGTGGCTGGTTTTCATTTGTTTAGGTAAACAGTTTAAGGGATGAGCAATTAAGGTTTTATTCTTCCTTTAACTGGAGCAAATGAGGCCAAATTCATAGGAGCACAACACATTATGTTTGTTCAAATGTATGCGTATGTGTATGCAGTTTGGTAGGAAGCAAGCTCTTTCTTTGTATGTGTAGCCGTGTGTAGTTGAAGAAAAGGTTGTGTGCCATTCTGAGAAAACAAAATAGATTCTCCTACTCAAAAGGAGCTATTATGGGAGTGGGGAGTGGGAGCGAATTATTAATATTTTATGCGCACATTCTACTATTCTGTGTATGATTGTACCTCGACAACGTATTCCGCTACTGCTTCATTCTGGAGTAAAGAATGTCCTCCGAGAATAAAGGATCCTTCATTGTTACCTTCTTCTCCTACTTCCGCCTTCCCTGCGTGCATGTTCAAAAACAAGCGACCGGAGAGGAAACTAACCAATTAGTTTTTGCTAGAAAGTGGCAAGATTATTTTCTTCTTTATTCCATTATGCTACGATAGGACCAAATGTAACTTTTATTTACAAAGTTTTCTTTATTGTTCGGAATAGCTTCAGCTGTGTTTCATTCATTTTTGAGCGTTTTCATTACAGTTTTGGTTGTTTTATGCCCATGTAACTATGCATGTATGCACTCATATCCCTTGGAATTTGGCTATATGGTTGAGATAAACTATCAGGAAGAAGAATGTCGTTGGCTTAGCGGATAGTAACTCCTCGAAAAGAATGGGTACAAGCCCTTTTCTGAATGTGATATCTTCTGAGCCAATTTCTCCAACAGGGAGTCCCCAAGAAATAAGTAAAACTTAGAATCAAAGATGCGTAAGAATTGGTCGCAAATTCTCCTACCAATTTCCAGAGAGAGCCGAATAATGAGATTCTGATGGCGTCCACAATACCTCATCTGGAGAAAGGAGGTCGAACGGTGTGTGTTCAGAATTCTTACAAAAGTCTCGCCGATTCTGTTCCCATCTTGGAGAACCTATATGACTCTTAGCCGTTCACCTTAAACACTATTGGGTGGAGTCATGAAACACTGGAATTAGATGAGTTGAGGCAAATGGCAGTGAAACCAAACCAGGTACTTTGTACCAAAACTCATGCTTCTCTACTATGCACGATCAACTAATGAATGATGAGCCGTTATAATCTCACGACCCACTGGTTCCTCTCAGAGTAATTTTTAAAAACACTCTTTTCAGGTGTTAGCAGATGGCACAATTTTTCTCGTTATTTGCAGCCTCCTTCTGTGGTAGAAAAAAATGTAAAGTGGTTAAAATGAGGAATAGAAAACACGGCCCTTGGGTTATAACTTCATCTTGAGATTGCGCTCGTAGTCCGCTTACACACACATTTTGCCGTGACCGAGACTGCTTGGAATTCTGAATATGACAACGCCCGATATGTAGCACTTCCTCATGTACGTTGAGAATATGCGACAATATTGGGTAGAAATGGCTAGATTAAGTTCGAATGAATACAAGTACAGTAATATATACTCGGTAATACACTTGTTGGCTACGAATACAGATATACATGGATATGTAATAGATAAATATTTATGTACATATGTATTACAGATATGTAATAGGCTGAAAAGGCGGATCATCTATTGTACGTGTTATAGACTGAAACTGTTTAATAAGAAATTAAAAATCCACAATAATCTGCTATCCAGAACGTATGGAAGCTGTAGGATTTCTAAGAGCTTAAACTGCAATAGTTTCACTTTTCCGACAAGTTAAATTGAAACTGTAATTCGTGTTCTGTTGGTGTAGTAATCCACTAAAATCTTGTCTCCTTCACCATTTTAGCTCCCCAGTATTTCATCTATTCAAACAAAGTTAACTCAATAATCTCTTGTGCTACTGAATGTAAATTTCCCATCTGCTTTTCCCCATTGTACAAAGTAAAAGATGGAAAGTTTCCTCTCTTTTTTTAATATAAGGACTAAATTCTTTCCAGGGTTTGTAAACTTTTTTCTTGGTTCGTTCAGGTGCGATATTATTATACACAACGTGCATGATGCTCACACAATACACCTTCTTCCGGCATTAGAAAAGTATGGATATGATGTATTTCGATATTGGTTGGCGAGGGACGGAGGCGTATCGTTCACGATGATAGAAAGGGTATGCATGTACCTAGATAGCAAACAGCTCAGCATGTAAAATGTTCAAGTGAGCTGAAGTGGGCATGCAGATTTGCATGACTAGACACACTTTCCTCCCAATTTGAAATTGAATGTTCTGTTCTCCATTTATTATGGCATGCAAGCTGAGATCTGACTTACTTTTCCTACTTTACTCGTACATGGTTTCCTCGTGTCCTGTCTAACAGATAACTATGCGCTTAATACCATTGGATCTTTATTTAATTAAAAACACCATCTTCTAGATTTAAGACACTTTTTCCTCCTCGGTGACTTTCTTCCGTGCCAAACACTTCCAAGTACTTTCCATCCAGTTTTACTACTGCTGGTTTCTTTTCTCCCCTCACAAGGAGGACAAGACCAGTAGTGTAGGACATAATATGTAGTTAGCAATGTTAAATATCCACCCGCCCACCCAACCAACCAGTATGAAACAGAGTTGAACTGTACTTGGTGTTCTTGCAACGTTAGCGGAACAATTTATTTCTATTTACTCCACAGTCAATCCCGTAATTCATCTCAAATATTCCGAGACAAATGTGTTCCCACAGAGAGTCTTTTAGGATTAGCCCTGTTCCCTTGTAGACATGAGTCGTATTAAAAGCATTGAGTCCAACGTGGGTCCTCTTGTTTGTGCATTTTGTCTCCCCTCCCCCTCTCCTCCCCATGCACTTTTATTTCACTATCACCAAATATCTATTTCCCAGTGCAATAACCAAACTTCCAACAGTTCATGAAAGAAATGAGGATGGGAGAAAGTAGGCAGTTACATACGTATGCTCTCCTCACCCTCCTCGCCCAACGCCGTTCTTCTATTCGCATTGGCATTATTGGGAAAAGGGGCACTCTCCACCACTTTGTTTCCTTCTTCCACACTCACTTTGAGCTGCATATTGCACCACATTCCGCCTTCTCATACAACCCACACACACACAACCTTTACCATGCAAAGCAGGGTTGCGAATGACAAGGATTGTGATCTATGAGCTGAATATGAAAAAGACGTTTCCTTCGGTTAGATACGAGTATTACGTCGCACGGCTCGATTTCCTATGTTTCTGATGATTTTGAATCCATTAAACTGGGCTGGAACCCTTATCCGAACAGAATCTTACAGGCATAAAGGGTGTTTCAAACGGAAAGTAAGAATACCTAGCACATTTCCTATGTTGACTTCGTTTATCCTTTAGCCCACAGTCCGTCGTATGTAAAATTACATGGAGCGACAACACCACTCGATAAGGCTGATTGTGTAACAGGGTGCGTACAATTTGAGAAATGTGGCAGGAGAGAGAATTTGGAATAGTATCCGAGAGAGGGAAAGCATTCATGGGGATATCAATTTCTTTGCTCAATAAGCTTCCTCACCCCTATCAATGTCTATCTCTCTGCACGTTGGGTTGTGCAAGAGGAGGAAGATTGCCTAAGCGGAGTAAGTGAAATGGATGGGGTGGTGCGGATGTTGGTTGAATTTCCATAATAATCATATAATGCCGAGTACAACGACACTTTGATATGCTGCGGAGCTGACATGGATAAGTGGTTGGTTGGTGGGTTGCGGTGGGTGTTTTGTGTGTGCTAAGTGGTTGGTTAAGTAGATTACTTGGTTGATAAACATTCAGTCTTCCTGTCTCATCTCACTCTCACTGTTGCTGTATCAAGTCGAGTCAATTTTACTGCCTTCTTCTCTCCGGACGGCTTTCACTCCACTTCTCATCGCTTTCTCCACCACCACCACCACGTTGGCTTTGGTTTACCGATGCCTTGGACTCACTTACTACGAGAGTTCTATGTACGAGGAGCCTGCCTGCTCAATTTCCTTCCACTTCGTCTCAATGGACTGGTGTCAGTCATGTCTCTCACTCAGGATGACTTTGTTTTTGTTATCTCCGGGCTACGTCTTCGTTTTATTGGTTTACTACTCAACTATGTCGCATTACAATGGAATTGATACTCTTGCTTGATCAAGTAGTATTTTGTGACATTGTACTACTCGGTTTATTTGTCTAATGATGATGGACATGTCTTTATTTAATATACTTAAGTGAGTCAATTAAGAAATGTACTGCCGGTCGGTAAGTGTGAACGACGTGCAACCTACTTATTTGCATATACGTAAATAAATATAACCCAAATCCCGTTAGACTTGCAAACATTACAATTTTCTAGAGAACCACTGAAAACGATCTTTTCTTGTACTTTGCACAGTGAAAAATCTGTGTATTGTCAATATACGGGAAATGCTTTGCATGGAATATTTGTCGAATGTCGAATGGATTGTCGTTGCTTCCCCATCAACACTTCCGTCGTGCCGTGACAAATCCTGCTGGAAGGAGACTGAGTCGCTCGCTATGAAAAATGGTTCTAGGTGAGGGAAAGAGTGGTTAAAAGTACACCCCGGTCCGTGGGTTGTTTAGGCCTATGCAAAGTGAAAGTGACGGATGAAATAGTGGAGGAAAACTCCATTGTGCTCGGTGGCATTGTTCAATCCTGTGTGTATTGTATTGAGTGGTGGTGGTGGAAGTCGTACTTGTGCTCACATCAAATTGATGCATACCAACCACTTACATGCTAATGGTACAAAAGAGTCAGAGGGAAGAGAAATGCTCACAGTTCAAGCATTGCACACGCAGAGTTCCTTTACATTCAAAATGAAACGGGTTTACGAAATACTTTATTGAATCTTCTTTTTTTATGTGCAGAGATTTACGAGGGAAACTATACCCAGGAACTGGGGCCAGATGTACAACTGGATTTCCCCGACACTCACTCAATGGAAATAGGTAAGCAGAATCAAACAAGGTGTGCTCAAGCTGAAATGCATTTTATTATTTCCCCTGCTGCTGGTTATATAGGTTAAGCTAAAGTTAACTCTCCTGTGCATTGCATACGTGTGTGTAGGTGGAGGCCTTGTTCACTGGTAGGAAACTTATCCGTAGAACTATAAATATCAGTTTATGTACACCGCATTACGATACGAACTGGATTTGATTTTGTTATACGAACTTTTACCAAATCCACTCAAAAGTGGCACATCTAATTCTCATAGGGCGCACCAGGCAGATAATATCGCCCGATTTTATTTACTTTTCTCCATGGTCCATAAACCTCCGATATACATGTACAGATCATCAGTTGTCAAAGAGGATCATATTGGATTGAGAGGACAAGTTTTTGTATTTTAGGGACATTTGTGACGTGACTCGATGGACAGGAATAATTCTAACACAACTTGGACTTGGCAGATCACTTTGTGCAACTGAGATTATGATTATATTACGAAAAACGATGAGTAGACCAAAATCTAATTTAAAATGACAACACTCCTGGTGCATCTCATTATTCGTGTTAGTAGATAATTCGTGTTTTATCATTTTTAAGTTAATATACAATATGTACCTGTGTACACAATGCATTGCATATTTAACCATTAGATGCACATACTTAAACAACTCTGATTCACTATATGATCATACCTCACGGTTTCCTTTCTCCCTAATGAGACAACAACTATATTTTCTTATTATTATCAATTTTCATCCAAGCGAAATAAGCGCTGGTACTTACTTATCACACTCGTCACTGTCAGATGGGCCCCAACAACCACATTGCCGGGTGGTAGTACTTTGGACGGTGAAATGCAGGGGAAAGTGGAAATGACGCATTCGGTTGAAAGGACTTCCATTATTACTCTCTCGTTCGTATTAATCATTTATTATGAGAAGCGAAGGAGGCTTTTATTTTTACATTCGCTCGATCACAAACATAAATAGTGGAGCATGGGGAATACGTATGAATGGAAAATGGTTGTATAGCAAATGAGCAAGACTACGAGTGGAGGGAGCAGGGAAGGAAATGGTCGTGGAATTATTAGTTGTTGCACGACAGGAATATGTACATAGTGCACATACGCGTATGATTATTTTGGTCAGCCGAGTTGGTGCAACATTACTCCTCATGCTGTATGTAATGCATGCGGGGGAAAGTTTTATGATATTTGAACAAAGTGTGTGTTTTTATGTGTGACAGGAGACTTGGACTCATCGATGGTGGAGACGGTGGTGGGGATCATCACGGGACTTATCCTCCTCGTGGGCATCGTCAGTGGAGTCATCGTCTGGATGCGACGAAGTGGGCGCAACATTTCCTCTGCCTTCCACTTCCAGGGGGCTGGTGCCTTCCCCTGGAGAGCAAACTGGTCCTCCCACATCCCCACCCACATTGTCGCCCAAACTAACCCCACCACCGAAGGGGTGAAAGTACGAGCCATAACTCTTATTGTCGTATTTTATAACATTTTCTGCTACATTTGTACGAATGTCCATCCACCAAGTCCTCATTTACGATGCTCATAAACGTAACTTAATGACGCCGATCAACTATACGAGAACCGACAAACACGACAAATCCTAAAATAAGGAAATAGGAGCTTTATTGTTTGTGTGCAAACGTTAAGCGCAGGGTGCTTTTATTTTTGTCCACCTGTTAAAGCATTATGAGGTCTCGGACAGTCGTTGATCATCCTCATCATAGACACAATTTTGCTACACATAAGTAGCAAGGAGAACGTTATGAATCTATCTGTTGATTCCATGCTGAAAACTCTGGCGTAGTTGCAATATTTTTTATGAGAGTGCGGAAAGCGTTTTGTTGGCTCTCCGTTTCACAAATGGATCATGCGATTTACCGATTTTTCAAACGCTATCCTGCTCTCTCGTTGACCTTTTTGAAGGCGGAGATGGAATGTGTGTCCCTGCCTCTCCATTAGATTTGTAGATTTGTCGATTTCACGCCGTTCTCCATTTCCATCCATTTCTTTCTCTCCCTCTCATTTGGTATTCCAGATTGATACAACACCGACGACGACGACTCTGGGTCTGTCCCACACCGCATTTTCCTACAACCCGTACGACTCGTACATGGAAACCAACTCGAACGGCAGGCAGAAAATGGGTTCTTTGTGCTGTTTCGTGGTTTTGTGTGTTGTGTCCAATGGGATTTATTAATGCAGTCGGGACAATACGTCTCCTGTTTATATTATTGTTGTGTAATATTTTTTTTGTTGGTGGATATCGAGTACGGAGTGCGGCTCACGAAACCACGAACGCACAGTTTTCTTCTGTATAAGAAATGAGTTGAATTTGAAAAATGATGATGATTGTTTGCCTCAAATAATATACGTAGTTTTAACGGAGAAAGCTTTTATTATTATAAATATGAAGTAGGAAGCAAATAGATTTTGCTACTTGAAAATATCACATTTTTTAGACGATTGGATCCACATGAGTTATAGCTACATTGTGGTGGTGAATAAGGAGCAAAGATTTCTGAAACTGTTTCGAAGGATCTGCTGCTCGAAATTCTGGAAGGAGGCTCATAAATGATGGACTGCATATAATGCGTTTTGTATTGCTTTGTTAAGGCTAAAGCGTTGATGGTCTGGTTATGTTAAATACGCAATCTTGTAGCCATGAGGCAAGTGTGTGTATGGATGGATATGGATGGATGGACAGGGAAAGTGGAAAACGGATGCATTATATTCTTTATGAATACTGAATTGAGATTTTGTGTTCTGGGAATAGGATTTAATCTTAACCCTCACACCTGGTAATGGAGGTGGCACCGTCGTCGTAAATGGTGACTTCAAAGCCCATAATCTGCCCTCGTACACAAATGGAACTGTGTCCAAGCACTCTAATGGATTGCAGCTTCAAGGTACGTACTTTTACTCTTACTCCCATTTGACTTTCCCTTTCTTGGTTCTCTCCCCAAACAGCAAACTGATGGGGGTTGTGTGCCCATGCAAGTATCGCGGCATGAACGTGCGCCGAACCCTTGACTGACGAGCATTTTCGTATTTTCCTTCCGCTCCTTTCACTTCCGACTTTTGACAGAGTTGCATACCAAAAAGAAACGACTAACTGGTTCAAAGTCGGAAACGTCAATCTTGACTCAGCATAACTTCCAAAATGCAATGAAATCCTGGAATCTTTGAATTTGTCCTTTGCTTTGAGCATGAAAATACAAATTCTTCGCATATTACTTACTTATGTGAAGGAGTGTATGATGTAATGTTTGTGATGCATAAAGGAGGAGTGAGGGAGATCAGAGAGAAGTGGCAAAAAGTCATGTCAAAGGTTTCTACTCCTCAGTCAGTATATTTATATGCATGTATATTCGGAGGGGACTAAGAGGCTACGCCACAGACGAAGCCAATTTACATTATGGATGCTTTTCTTTTTGACGTGATGCATTATTATATTAAGGATGGACTCACTGGGGCGAGTTGCTCGAGCTTTCGACGCTGTGCACATACGCCACGCATGCACTTATTTTATAAAAAAAATATGACTGGGATTATTGTCTAGCCAAGAAAGTTGTTGTGCTTTCTCTGATGCAATATGGCCAGTGATTTTTGAAATATTATTAACTCGTGGTGGCAAGTATGCCACTGCAAACGTACATATCAATACCTTCACTTATTGCCTTTTACCCTTTAACCGGGGACGTTTCAAATATTTCAAGATAAGATTTGCGAAAAATACATACCTCATTTGACTGTGCCGCAATGTTGCAAATGAGATGAAACGAGAAAGTTGGAAGAGGAGGAGGAAGGAGACTAGTAGCAAATCCGTTGACTTTCTTTGCTTGAAACAAGAACAAACAAACTCGTCCCCGACTTTCTCATTCTTCTTATTCCTTCAAACTGAAGAAAGCGTAGTTAATCAGATTCTCTTTTTGTTTCTCTTCCAAGTCTTCTCATGCATGCTCAAAACTCAAAAGTCAAGCAAGTCAACTTTTCCACGAGAGCAAAGAAATAAACTTACCAGCAGCTCTCCTCATTGTTTGTGGGAAGGCAGAGGAGAAGAATATGGGCTGAATTAGAGAACTAGTTTCCATATCTTTCGTTACCAGCAGGTCGTCATCTACTATCAAACAACAGGAAGGGAGGTCTTGTTTTAAATAAAGATGGGCTTCAAGAAAGTGGCAGAGCTAAACACTCTTTAATCTTAAAATCTGTCTACTGGAGAAAGTTTCGCCACGAAAAACAAGGAAATGTGTCACGTCTAACATGCATAATATTGGTCAGACCAGCGGAAATATTCATTCCTTATTCAGCAGCAGGAGCGAGATAATGTTTGCGTTGAGGCTGAGACAAGAGACAATATTTTGGCTCCTCGAGAATGCCACTGATCAGCTCACCTGCTGGGATTTACTTTCGCTTTCTTCGTCATTCCACCCTTCTCTCGTTGGCAGTTGTTGATGGAGGTAGAGCAGAGAGAGGAGCTTACCGTGTGTCCTGAACCACAAAACTCAACCTCATAGTGTTTGTTGTGCAGTGTAGCCCAATGCATTATTGACAATAAACGTATGGGATGGACAACCGGCATGCTATTTTGTCCCTCAGGGTTCGGAAAAACCCAGGGTTTTAAAGTAATCAAAAAGTAACGACCCAGGGGTTTTAATGGGTTTTAATGGGGTTTTTGGGTTTTAATGGGTTTTATGGGTTTTATTAGGTTTTACATAAGTACTACATTGAACAACAATTTTCACTACTATTGCAATCCAATTTCAATTAATATGCAAATCCTACTTGTCCATGTTAGAATTTGTATCCGTTTCGAAATAGTCCTGTTTAACTGATCATAGTTTAATACTTTATGAGAATATATATTACCTCTTTCTCGAATACTTCCTCTCATCATAATGAAATCCAAGTTGTTTAAAAGTTTTTAAAATTTAATATTTCAATGCGATCTTAACGTGTATTATCAATTCTGGAAAAAATCGAGTACTTAACAACAATGAAAGTACGTATGTATTATGATCGAGAATATAATAAGTGCTTTTTACAGACACACTTCTTTTGCTCATAATAAAGTACTTCGCTGTCCATAAGTACTCGAATTTTCCAGAAGTGATAATTAAGATCACCTTGAAACATTTTAAAAAACTTTATAAATTAAAAAAATACTACAGTATTTTGTTTAATTTATTCGCTGAGATGAGAGGAAGTATTCGGGAAAAAAGTATTAATTATGACAGCAAAATGTAAATTAAATGTAATTAAATTATGTATGCTGAGCATACTATGCTCAGTTAAACATACCTCGTTCCGAAATTATTATTTTTAAATATTTTTGTCACTTGAAACTTGTAATGGCACTCGCTGATTTATTCCTGGTTTTTAAAACTTACAATATTAATCGAATAAACTGCTTAGCATGAAACAACTTCGTCTAATGTACGACAGCTGTTTTCAGATTTTAGAATATAGTTTTAAGCTGAAACACAGTTAAAACCCATTAAAACCCGAATAAAACCCATTAAAACCCAAATAAAACCCATTTAACATGGTAAAACCCAATGGGTTTTATTCGTTAACAACCCATTAAAACCCATTAAAACCCAAAAAACCCAACCCAATAAAACCCTGGGTCGGAATACCCTGGTCCCTATGTTGCTGGACATGCCACGGCGGCGGTTAACCAGGCAAACCAGAAAAGTATATAATAAGCGACGAGAGAAAAGGAACGACAGAAAGAAAGGCAGAAGAAATGGAAAGGTGGTAGCCGAGTTGGTTGGTTGGTTGGAGTGAATGGAGGGTCGAACGCTGTGGGAGAGAGTTGAGAAGGATTTGTGTTTAGTCGAAGAAGGGAAATGGGAAGAAAGTAATATATTGTAAGTGTGGAAAACAGATTAGAGGGTTGGTCTCCGTTTTATCACGGAGAAATTTACGAGACAGCGTGTGTCATTCGATGTCGTCAGAATTATTATATGTTGGGCTTCCACACTGCCACACTTTCCCCGCCCGCATCCTCTCTCTACAGACCAGCTCTGGTGGCTGGAGGTGGAGGGAAGGAAGATGGGACGCTGTGGTTGTGATCGCAATAGAGATGCACTTGATGAAGTGTGTGACCCATCTTCACTAAATCCCCTGACACCTCATACAGGCAAATGCAGACCAAAAACCAGAATAGACTTATTTTGCTACAGACGAGTGTAAGGAAAAGCACAGTTGATGCAAGATTTTTCGTCACTGCAAACTGTTCCGCACGTTTATTTACTTAATTATCATCAAAAAGACATGTTGTTGATCCAAATTAAGAATTAATACTCAGGTTCAATGTTACAATATTTTCTTTTGTTATCATTTGAAGTAATGAGCTGGAGTATACTGGACAAAAAGTGGTGGTGGCAGGAGACAGTTTGGTCATAATTTACCGAACCTGGGCAGCAAAGTCTATTAATAAAACGGAGTGTTGTTGTCGGTGTGAGAATAAATGATGGGAAAGACGGGAAAACTCTCCAAAGTTTTGGCTGTGCTTTGCTGCTGAGAGAATAAAAGGAGATTATTCTTTTGTACTAGAAGGGAAATATTGCATTATTCTGTACGGGCAAGGCCATTAAAAGCACCTGGCTGGTCAGGCAAAATGAGATCTTTTTGAACGGGCTTTAGCGAGCTATGCTATGGCTGACTGCCTTGTGCAAGGTATGGAATCTGTTCGCAAGTTACCTAAAGCTCTTGGAGACTGTTTTCAAGCAAAACCACGAGATTTTGATTTACCCTGGGTTTAAATAATTCCTTCCTAATTAAAGCTCTAGTTAGTCAGGACTCGGGACAAGTAACATTTTTCCTTGACATTGCACGCACGACTCCAACTAGTTTTCTATAAGAACAGATAAACGCGCATATATTTCTTCCCATGCTTTATCTTTAATGGGTTCTTTTCTTGGAGGTTTTGACGTTCAGGTGAAAGTGAGCGAGATGGAGATTCACTCAAATGAAAACTTTCTTTAAATTGTTGGGCAGGGTTTATCGATTGTGTGTGCGTCTTGTATTCGCTAGGTGTGAAAGTCGGACGGATGAAATGGGAGGCGATAAATTAAAAATTAAATGAGAGAGAAATCAGTCCATTTTTCATTTTTTATTTAAATTCTCCTCCCAACCTGTGAGTGAAGAAATCATTTTGATGGATTTAGACAAGGCAGCAAAACGTTATTCCTATCTCTCTGCTACAAGAAAAGTCTGAACTTGCGTGTAATGTCGGAAGCTATATCTTATCTCATTTTTCTGAAAGCGCTCTTCCTTTCAACCCTTTCACCAGAGTCCACCAGAGTGCTTTGCAATAAACATAGACTCAAAAATGCATGCTCCTTTTGACTAACTGAATTCTCCTACGTACAATTTGCATTTCCTTTGCTATCCAGCCTGCGAGGGATCTCACTCAATTTATCATGTAACATATTTTTTCACCAGCTATATTAAACCCATCCTCAGTGCGAGATAGAGACGCACATTCATTCATCTTCTCCTTCCACCAACAAGATAAATGTTCACCCCTACGTGCATGCATACATATCTTCGTATGTATCTTCGTATGTACACTGGTTTAAAAAATACAGGAGTTCCAACAAGTCATAATAACGCTCACGTCAGCCACGGATCTGTCTCATTTGGTTGAGTTGACGTACGGTAAATGAAAATGGACGCGTCGTTGTTTCACTTGTGCTTATGTGTACATGCCGTGTATTGCATGATTATTAATATTATGCTCGTTCCCAGAGAAAGCAAAACGTCTTATTTCGTCTGACTTTTTGAGAAGATGTGGGTACTGCAAGTTTCCAAGAAAATATTTATTGTACTTTCCCACAGACACTCAATCACTCATCCTGATTGCTAGACAATAAATAAATTGGAAGCCCATACGCAGTGTACTGAAAATAATTGATCAGATGGGATTTTCTCTATCTGTTTCTCTATCTACAAGAAGAGAAATGAGATTTGTGTGCGACAGTCCTCCAGGTTGTCCATTCACGAAGGACAAGAGTAGTGGTATGTTGCAGGAAGCAAGGGCTATTGAGCAGTTGGTCTATAGTCGAATCATGAATGAATTGAATAACTCCCTAAAGTTGACACTAACGTTTGGTCCAAAATATTAGGTTCCAATAGTTCCATAGTATTACTTATTTTCCTTTATATCCCTATATATATTCTTATATTCGATCCAACATTTAAGGGTCCCTTCATTGCTGGGAGAGAATAAATACGCCCGGGGTTTCCCCAACCGCTATGGCCTGATAATAAATATAATGCTAAATTATTTTCAGGTACACAATTCAACAACTACGGGTCTACGAAAAGACTTGCTGACTCTGGGCGCAAAACCGTGGCGGACAGTGGCACCAATAACGGCATCGTTAGTCACAATCACGGAAGCCCGACGAAAGTGACCTTACGGACCAATCAATTAGCAGCCCTAGATGAGAATGCGGATTATGGAGAGGGTGAAAATGAAAATATTTACCATGAAGCTTGCACGCTTACAATCAGTAGTGCCACCAAGAGTCGGAATAAAAAGGTAATCAAAATATTCAACTCAATGAACTAAATATTTTTTAATCGTATCCACAAGTTTTTAACGTATACATATTTAAAAATCTCAATATATTTAGATACCAGTAAATGTCTAAATAAATTCATCGAAGGAAAATGTGCGATCCTAAAAGATTTACTTTTAAACTAAGATTAAGACCTTATTTCCTATTCAGGCTGTCCTTTTTAGGAGAAACGTACATCGGAAACGAGACTCTGTCTAATTTATAATTTACGATTCCACTTGGATTCATTCCTTGATGGAAGGACGAGTTGAGCCCAAGTTAAAATCTCGAAATGCTCAAATAATGAAACGTAGCCTAAAGAGAGAGGAGAGAGAGCTGACATGGCGTATCGTACGGTAGATGAGTTTTCACTTTCCGTCTCTCTGTTTCGTTGAGATGAGTGCGTTGACTGACAAATGTTTTACTTGTTAAAAAGCAAAGACAAAAGTTTCACTTTCACTTGACTCTATTTTAACTCCTTGTTAGAAGGCGACTAAAAAGAGTAAGTTTGTGCAGTATTTTTTACTCCTTTGGTCACAACTGACTACTAAAATACGGAATTTAAATGTGACAGCCTCGAGGAGTGAAAGTACTCGTAAAGCGACGACGAGCAGAGTGCTCACAGGACTGGCTACATTACAATGAGCTCAAAGTTGTTGTTTTTGGTTGACTTGCACTTCTGTTCTTTTCTCATTCTGTTTTTTACAAAGCACAATAATAAAAAGTCGAGGCCTTGCACATGCATGAGAACAATGTCGGCGGCAATGAAGTTGAAATGATGGAGATAGATATTCCGCCTGTTGGAACACAAATGCAAAATATTTTAAATTATAAAGTTAAGTTACCAGCTTGTATATTTGCGTACGTACGTACGTGCGTATATCCAGTCTTTATGTGTCTGAAATGTATGTATTTGGGGACGCACAAGAATGTGAACAAGTGGGTAACCTCACACAGTGCTAAACACATTTGTATCGTGTGACCACCCTTTTTAGGGTGGTTTAAATTCCAGTTTGACTTTGACTAATCACAGTGCATTAAATTGATTGGGAAAGGTTCAACCCTTTTTACTCATGTCCATATCCTGTTTTATAGATAAAAGTGGCCAGCTCAGTGTGGAATTTAAGTTCTGGAGGACGGTCTTATCGACCTGGCCGTGGACGAGTCCCTGATGTGTCATTGAGACAATTAAGATTGATTGAAAACCTCGGGTCCTGCTTACACGGGCAGGTAAGGCGGCCACAATGCCCAGCGCTGCAATGCAACAATGGGCTTTGTAGCAAACGGAAATAAATGTCGTGTCTATGAGTTCCAAATCAATTTATTCCCCTCGCCTCCCCCCTGCTTCTCTTTATGTCGAGATTCATCTATGCAGTCCACTTCCTCTTGCAACCTTGGTTGACTTACCCATTTCCGTAGCTGCGACTACTTACTGGCGTGACTTCCTAATTTTGACTCCCTACAATATACTCCAACTTCTTCAAATGCGGCAAGCTAAATTGCGAACCGTCATTTAAGACAGATTTCAAGTAAATGCATTCATTTCCCATCAAATAACCCTCCTAACCTTAATGCCATGTAAGATTATGAGATTAAGCGTAATGAGAGCGTCTGACGTACGAAGAGGATACTGATATATTTATGACTGACTGACGTACGTACAGTATACGCCAAAAAGTTATATGCGAGCTAACAAAGTTATGCCCAAATTCTACAAATTGCATCATATCCTCTCACTCATTTGATTATGGTGAAAGTGGAAGAGTGAGCTTGAGTCCTTCCTTCTCATTCGTTGCAGGTTCATCTCTATGACTTTGAAGGAGAAATTGCTTGTCATGAAGGAACGATGTATCGCAATTGTCGTCTCATTGGGAAAACCATTAAGGTATGTGTCGTCAAGATCTTCGTCTATTCCTACCATCGTCGTCCTCTCTCTTAGCCTTAGCCCTCCCTAGAACTAGGGGTACGACTCACCCCGACCTCCACAATTTCACACACAATATCAAACACTGCGTCAAACCTGTATGTATTTCGTTAAAGATCATCAAAGTGTCCATCTTGATGATCCTGAACTCCTCGTCTGACTCTTGTGAGTTAGACACACGTTGAGTTATTCAGTCAGTTCTCGTTATGTAGTTTTTCCCCTCTCACCTCTAGAGATTTGCATACTGTGCAAGTATGTATGTAGCAACGTGGTCTAACCCAAGCATAAATAAATTGTTCATCAGTCGTGCATAGTTGGCTGCTTGTTTTTTACGAATTAATGTACCGAAATAAATAGTAATTCTGTTTGATGATGCAGTGGTGGGTGGGTGGGTGGTAGGTGGGAGAGGAGACGGAGAGGAGCGAGTTTGCAGATGGGAATTAGTGTATCTGAGAATAATTGTTTCATTTGATCATCACAGAACCTGGCTGAGATCCGACTGTTGAGTCTTTTGGACCATGAACACATTTTGGAAACGGTGGCTCTCTGCAGCGAGATGAAGAAGCCGCTGCTGTGTCTCTTCATCGCTCCGGAATGCGGCGATTTATGTTCCTTCCTCTCAAGACTAACCAACACCCCCAGGTACGCAGAGTGGCCGTCATTTCATTATGATTGAATTGTATCCATCTTTCCCATTGTCTTGTCTCTTTGAGAGAAAGAGCCGTGGTTCTGCTCCTTCCCTACCTCCCAATTTATTTCCATACATACCACGACGACAGACAGCAGCACGCCAATAAACCAACCGCTTTCTCCCGCTGTGTCTCCGTTTCCTTAATAATAATCCTCCTTATCCATCCAATGCCCGTATCCGGAGGCACCATATTCAACGGCCTGTCAATGATCGATAACGTTCACCCGTCACCAGGAGGACTAGTGGAACAAGAAAAGTGTGTGATATGGCTCAAAGCAAGCTGAGGAGAAAGGAGAACATCGCGTGTGCCATGTCCAACACAGTCGACAGAGGAAAGCCACTCATTCACCAAAGACAAAATGGAACATTAGTCTTCCAGTGCCAGTGGTCTGCCAAGTGTTTTATCTTTCCATGTGGAAAATAGCCTAAAAACTCAAATTGTCTACCCGAACGGGACAAGAAACGAAACCCATCTTCTTCCTCCCTTTCCTTCCTCTCGCTCTCTCTGTCCACTTGGTATATGTTCCTCAATTCCTTTGACCACAAAAGCAGACCACCTCGGGTTTGATTGATGGAGCCAATAGTGGAATACATGACCTGTTGGCTTTCTCTAACAATTCCCTCTCTTTTCCCTCTTTAGCTTGAGTTGGCTGCTCAGTGCTGCCAGCCAAATTGCATCTGGAATGAACTACCTGGAATCTATGAACATCACGTTCGCCGATTTATCTGCCAGGTACAGATCCGTTTGCGATCTCAATATTTTCATTAAACTTCTGTCTGTGGATAAAATAAATCGTAGCATGAAATGAGATACGAGGAGACGATACCACATATTCTTCCGACTACTTTCTCTTGCCGTCAAACTTTCTCCAACAGTTGAGTCACTGAAATGAACCGTAGTCAGTTGTCCAAAAAAATGAGCGTGAGGAAACAGATTCTACAATATGTGTAACTAGATTTTGGTAAATGACGGTATGATTCACGAGTAGAATACGTTTTTGTTTTGTTTCCAGAAAGTAGAGCAAAAACCAATCCGGTATAGGTCTCGGACATGTATTTTGCAGTATATACTGCCTGCCTGACCATCTATTTTTTATAGATTTGTAGCAGCAGCAAATGCTGCAAAGGACGCAAAAGTAGATTAAATCTGTTTGCTAAATGTAACGAAAGGTCAATCGCGTTTATATTTTGGAACAGAAAAGGGCAAGACAATAGTTCTTCATTCAATCTGACTTACTCCACGACCAAACAAACCCAGTTCATGAAAAAGGAGAATAAATGACACACATCTGTATGTTTCGAATAATCCTCTTTTACTCGATATGTGGCATCCCTTGGATGAAACAATAAGCTTAACGTATACCATAGGCGACCAAATACATGTGCAGGCCAGCCAGCCAGTGTCTTACATATTACTCTTATTGTCCTCGAGTCCTGGAGGAAGAGAAAAAATTGGAAACCATTTTGCCGTATTCACAACAAGCTTGCAATTTCGGTTGGTTGGTTGATACCGGTTGGAAGCAGTAAGTTGACAGCAGATGGTTTGCGAAATTGAAAATCGGAGCTTAAGACCAAAGCCCAAAAGAATTCTGCTGTTGCCTTCTTGAACTGTAGGAGTCGAATGTGATCTCGTTTTACGGGTGGAGAAAATAGTGGAGTAAACATGAATATTTCATTGAAACGGACTTTCTCTTTACTATTTGACCTTAGGAATTGTATGGTTGAGAGGGAAGGGTCTATCCGGATTGCCGATCTGGCGATGGCCTGTGAGCAGTATCAAGACGATTACTGTCCAACGCCGAATGGTTTAGCCCCTTTGCGATGGTGGTCTTGGGAGAGCATTTTGAGCGTATGTGTTTCTCAACCTACTTTCTCTGAGAACTTTAATATTTGACCCAACAACATATATTCTCAGAGTCTTATGTGTGTTCATCATCAATTTCAGGAGGATTTTACCATGCAAGGCTCCGTTTGGTCTTTTGGAGTGACGCTATGGGAAATTCTTACGCTCTGCAGGTATGGACATACATTTATAGATTCAAGTTGCTCCAAGAATAGCAAGCTGCATAATACCAGCGGTTCGAATAATGTAATGATGCAAACTTACTGTGACTTTTGAAATTTCAGACAAAAACCCCTTGCACATATTCCTGATCATCAAATCACAACTCTTGCAGAGAAATATGGCTCAACGGCAACTAGCCAGGTACATATAATTATTTGGATTGGTTGAGTGTTAATTTCTTCTACACTATGTAGCAAGTAGTCGTAGTATCTTAGTAAAGACGGTTGATCCGAAATGTTTTATTTATGATTTTAGCAAGTATGGCTTCCTCAACCACTGCTTAGCCCCCCAGAAATATTCGATCTGATGAGAGAGTGTTGGCAAGTCAATCCAGTAAGTACAATATTCACTCCAAGTATATTTTAAGCAAACGTCAAAGCGAATCTGTGAACTAACAACTATTTAAAATATGTTCAGGCACAACGGCCAACCTTCCAACATCTCTCCCTCTTTCTGGAACAAAAGTGTAGCACCTCAATTTACCATGCTGTTTGCTAACCTAAAAGTATGAAAATTGTGTATGGCAGATAATTCCTAAGAATAAATCAGATGTATACTTTGACTATAAGATTTGTACACAAAAGCAATTACATACATACATATTTACCGATTGCAGTATAAATAAGATGCTTTAGCCTCAAGATTTTCTACGATATGAAAATTAAATAGGCATTTTGCGAGATTTGTATACACACAAATGTATGTAGGATGCCTTCAGAATGATGAGGGAGTAAAGTGTATATCTTTTAGCAGACAAATCAAGCTGTTTTGAAAACCTTAACTTTGAAACTTGGATTAATTACGGTGGGTGCTGAATAATGAATACTTTTTTTCATTTTTCGTATGCTCCCTCTCATTGTAATAGGTTGTGATTCTAAGAGTAGCTTAAAATATGATACCTCACTCGTGCAGATATCATCTATATAATATATATATGTAAGATGTATGTAGGCGATATATATGTATATGTATGTATGTCCTATCCGGGTGTGGTGTGTACCGAATTAATTATAATATAATACGTGTTAGCCTAAAATAAATCAATTGAATAAAATTTGTACGTTATGATGTGGAACTCACTAGTAGTTTAATTTGATTATGTCCAAATAAATACCCGTCGAGCAATCACATTTCATAATACAAAATTACCCATTAATTATAACAATGAACCAATAAGGGCAACACATTTAAAACTCTTCTAGCATCATTACTCTGACAGCATAACCTTCACAGCTTCTAAGGCCTTTAGTAGCTGATCAATTTCACCAGTTAAAGTTGTCATTTTTGCAGAGTTTGACTCTTGAACATCAGCAGGAACTTTGTTGGCGTAATCCGGCTTGGCTGCAGCATCGGAAAGTTTTTTCAGTTGCTGGTTTTTAATGCTGACCTGCTTATTGATCCTCTCTTCCTCTTTGGCCAAATCAATCAAACCCTGACATCACAAACAAGAAGAAAATTGACAAGACATTCAAAATTTCTATAATATAAGTATGTATACTCAAGAATTTGGGCATACCTTGAGCAACAAGTACACAGTGCACTTATCATTGACAATTGCAGCGGCACAACCGTGTTGACACTCTTCTTTAGAACTTATTACTTGGATGCTTTTAGACGATGACAGTGCACAAAGGACTGCTTGATCTTCTTTTAGGACTGGTTCAAGTGATGGATCGGAGTTAAGTACAAAGGCTGGAAAGATTACAAAGTATATTTTTAATAAACTAAAAACTATGCAACTTAAATTTTTTTCAAAAATTTCAGTTTTATCAGCTACGTGTTGTATTTATCAAATCACCTTCTGTTTTGGTTTTGGGTGGAATCTCGTACGCTGAGCGAGTTGAACGAATAACACGAATGAAATGGTTCATAGCAGTTACTTCCTTTTCTAAATTGTCATCTTCAAACTCTTTAAACGCAGCTTGAATAGGAAACGAGGCAACAGTGATGGAAGGTGCTCTGGGTTCAAGTTTAAATTGGGGTAGACGCTGCCACAATTCTTCAGTTAAAAATGGCATGAATGGTGACAACAATCGTAATCCGTGATCAACACACAACAGCAAAACATCAAGACTTTGAATTTGAGATGCGCTCAATGTTGACCCTGGTTTTTTGTTAACAAATTTGGGCTTCAATGATTCCTAAAGGATATTATTAACAGAAGCTTAATTACAAAATACTGGAATAACTTTTAATTCAAAATTATTGTATGTAATTTTGTGGATTTACCAGATAGACGTCGCACAATTCATACAACCAAAAGCTATAGATAGCAGTGGTCGCTTCTTGAAAATTATATTCCTTCAGCGCTTCATTGGTACCAGCAGCGGCCTTGCTGAGCTTGTTAAGAATCCATCTATCCATTCTGTCAAATTGGGTTGGTGGCAGGTTTTTCTATTTTGTAAACATTTAGTTACTGATACCAATTAAAACAATTTTGTGATATAATTAGCTCATACTTACAGAGATTGGATTTTTATCACTTGGTGTGTAGTCTGTCCAGTAAAATAATGCAAATTTTACAGCATTCCACACCTTGTTGCAAAAGAAGCGATACCCTTGAAATAAGAAGTATACACTATTTTAAAAGTATTTGGGACCTAGGTTTATATGTATACTTGATTTTAAAATATCATCTTGTTGATTGATTTAATGCCGCTTCACCATTATCGACTTTGGCGATCGTTTTGGTTTTACTCATGAGCATGCCCTCGTGATCTTGATATTATCAAAATTTGGTTCTTACCTTGTACTCGAAGTACATCTAAATTGATGTCACGCCCGTGTGTCATGCAAGCACAGAGACCAAATCTTAAAGCGTCTGTTCCACATTCTGGAATGCCGGCCTGAGAGAAATAAAAAAATCAACAATGAATTGTATTTTTTGATATTCATGAGGATAATGTGCACAAGTTAAGACGCTACACTTGTCTGCAGTTATCGCATTTACGTATGTCAATCTCTAAAGGGTTCACACATGACGTATTTCGTATGAAACTTATGATCGTATTTTGTTAGAGGAAAACAATTTAAAATAGTTCACATTAGACCCTGTCTCGAAAAATGTCTAGGACAGAATTTCTTCGGAAAAATTGAAAATGCCGTCATGTTTCCTAATCATTCGTTCATGAAATCACAATAATAATTAACACATTTTACACATAAAATAAATGTCACCCACCGGGTAATCCTGTTCTTGTCCTTGTTTCGCCTAAAATTCACACAAAATACAAAGATTACAAACCGGTTGACAATAACTTTGCATGAGGAACAGTATCAATAAATTGATACCTTTTCAATTTCTTTGGGATCCAAGTTACCCTCTTCTAATTGTTTATGGAGTGCTTCTAAAGTAACACCTTGTATCACGTCCAGCGGATCAATTACGTTTCCTAATGATTTTGACATTTTTCGACCATGAGCATCTCTCACAAGCGAATGAAGAAAAACGTCTCTGTATTTGTATATATTATTCATCAGTTAAATTACAAAAATACTGCATTGTATATAATATATTATTTTGATTCAAGTACTTGAATGGTTCAGTTTTGGTCAACGTGCCAGCCATAAATATCATTCTGGATACCCAAAAGAAAATAATATCTATATATACAAAAAAACAAGGACATTACATGATGTAATTTACACCACACCAAATATATGTATCTCTTATATAATGGTAAATGGCAAAAATTTACCATAGCCAGTTTCTAGTAAATCCGTGGGGTAGAAAAGTTTAAAGTCCTCAGATTCTTCATCTGGCCAGCCCATCACAGAAAATGGAAAAAGACCAGAAGAGAACCATGTGTCCAAAACATCTTCATCTCGCTTAAGTTTAATATTTACAGCCTCGGGCCACTTAGCAGTTGCTTTCTTCATTGCTTCGTCTTCGCCCTCCGCAGCAACCCAAAGTTCATCATCTAATACTGTTGAATAAATAAAATAAAGATGTCAATTCATTCATGAAATCAGAAAAACTACTTCAAGCCAATTAATGTGCAAATACAACACTCACCAGTATTGCAGCCATCGAAAGTGACACGATATGCAGGGATCTGGTGACCCCACCAGAGCTGTCTTGAAATACACCAGTCACGAATTCCATTCATCCAGTTTTCCCATGTTTTGCGATACAAGTCAGGAATAATGCGAATTTTTTCATCCCGAACAACTTCAAGGGCTTCTTTTGCCATATTGGTACAATCGACATACCACTGAGCCTTCAACAGGGGTTCAACAATGTCCTTAGAACGAGAGCAAACGGGAACCACCATAGGATTGTCAACACAATCTCTGTACAGCCCTAGGCTTGTTAAATCCTCGACTACAGCCTTCCTTGCGTCGAATCTTTTCATTCCCTAAAACCATAAACAAGATAAGTCATAATTAAATTAACATTAACAGATGTATAATTAAGTACAATTGATAAGTGTTTAAATTGTGCAATGATTTACGCTAAATTTTCCGCAATTGCCCTCCATGTTTCCATCTTCGTTTATTATTGTAACAAATTCCAAGTTGTGACGCTTTCCGACTTCATAATCATTCGGATCGTGTGCTGGGGTAATCTTTACAGCCCCTTTAATTTAAAACAATTGTTCATAATGGTGTAATTTAATGTAAGCCCATAAACCCTGCACACTTGCGAAATTTTGTAATACGAACCTGTCCCAAACTCTTTTTCGACGAATTCGTCTGCAACAATAATTAGTTCTCGATCTACAAATGGATGTTTTGCCTTTTTCCCGATTAAACTCGTATAGCGTTCATCCTCAGGGTGAACAGCAATAGCCACATCACCAAGCATGGTTTCAGGTCTGGTTGTAGCCACAACAATTTCAGTATCGTCGTCAATCTAGAGACAATTTGTTAATTCATTAACTCTTACATCTATTTTGTCGCTATTTATTTATTACCTTGTATGCAAATGAGGTTAGTACACCAAACTCGACCTTTTCTTCATAACCAGGAACAGACAGCAATGTCTTTCCAGTCAATTCAACTTTATCCACTTCAATATCACTAATAGCGCTTTTAAGAGTACATGACCAGTTCACAAGTCGATCACTTCGATAAATGAGTTTCTATAAAACAATACACATAAATCTACATGTACAGAGCATGCATACTACATATGAGAATCATAAATTTAATTAGATCTCGATTAATTTACCCAATCAAACATGGTAACAAATGCACGAGTAACCGCTTTTCCTAGCTTTTCGTCCATTGTAAAGGCGACGCGATCCCAGTCAGCAGATATTGCCATTCTCTTCAACTGTTCGTAAATTCGATCGCCTTTTTGGTTTTTCCATTCCCATACGCGTTTTGTGAATTCTTCTCGTCCTAAGTCATGACGAGATATTCCTTGTCTTGCCAATGCCTTCTCCACGACCATCTGAGTTGCAATTCCAGCATGATCACAACCAGGAACCCAAAGGGTTACTTTCCCACGCATGCGATTCCTATATTCAATACAGAGTAGCATTAGTTTAATATTATACTTGAATCAGCCTAGGTAGGCGAATAACTGGAATTTCTGTTCAAATTAATGTTTATTTATATACCATACCATCGGGTTAGGACGTCTTCCAATGCACACGTCAAAGCATGTCCCAAATGCAGTGTTCCAGTAACATTTGGAGGTGGAATGACAATTACAAACTTTCCACGTGCTTCAATAGCTTTCTTCAGAGCTTCTTCTTCTTCCTTTATATTAAATATATAGAAAATATTAATTTGGACTATAAAATAGTTTTAAAAATCCATACATAATTTTAAACGATTTGATACGCACCATATTAACCCCATATTCAGGTTTAAAAAATCCTTGCTGAAAGAAAAAATCATTATATCACAATTTAATCGCACTATTATTTGACGATTGCCTTATTAGTTAATGCATGTCACATTACCTGACACCACCACGAATACCAAGCGGCTTCAACGTATTTTGGGTCATATGCATCAGGCAATTTTACAGTAGGTTTCTTTTCTCCGATTTTCAAGTTTTGAAGTTCTTGTAGAAGGCCATCTTCAATTCCAGATGTTTTTTCTTTTGCTTTTGATTTATCTTGTTTTGCAGCTTTGGGTTTACTATCCCCATCTGCAGCTTTGGCTTTTTGCTGCTCCTGTTTTTCTAGAAATTTCTTCATCTTTGCTTCTTTCTCCAATTTTTTCTGAAGCTCTTTAGCCTTCTTAGTGTCAGATGTTTCCTCCATCACGATTGGTAGAGTATAATCAATGGAAACTGGGGGTAGATCGACAAATTCTAGAAGATCTGGTGGTCCTTCTTGATTGGCGTCGTAAGTGCTCCACTCTCGTTTTACAGTCTCGCTCTTGGGTGAAGAGTTTTCCTCGTCTGACATCAACAAATTCAGAAGGATGGATAACTCCCCTAAAAACGATCAAGGACGAGAAAGGACAAACAATTCAGATATAAACAAATAGTATTCATACATGACGCAATTTCTGTAAAGCAGACGCTCTAAAATATCCCTAACGTTTTTAGTTAATAACTCTTTATTTTTCTTGGAGATCAATGCATGCTAATGATGAAACTTCGACATATGATTGCATAAACTCAGACCTTCGACACACAAAAACTACTAATTACTGAAGATATGTCAACGTGACACTGCCAAACTAACTTTAGTTCACATATAACGGAACTCGGTGCCTGTCCAAGAAAGAACCGGAAGTCGATAAATAAACTGACAATAAGCAACTTTGGTTTTACTGTTTTGAAGCGGTGGGTTCCACTAATTTCCATTCACAGAAGTGTGAAACCTGGCGAAATGTAAAATTGCTTTTATGACCTCACCTTATCAACGAAGGAGAGGAAGGAGGCTGCACTGAGACGAAAAAGAACGTATTTCGAAATTCCACACCGGAAGAGTTGAGAGGACGAGAGAGCAGCTGCTGAAAGAAAAGTCGGCTCTTATTATGAGACAGCGGCACCACTAAAAGATCCACCATGTGCAACCACCACCACCACCGCCGGCTCAGCTCTCTCATTCCACTTTCACCTCGTGCTCCTTGTCAACAAACAACTTGCTCTCTTTGGAGAAAGTTGCAATTTGGAATAAAAACTCCGTTTTGATCCACCAGGAAGATAATAGACTTCTAAATATTTATATGTTGCATGGTTTGAGAATGGCAAAGTCATCCCCTGCCTTGCAGTTCAAAGTACTGGCTGAATGTCCTGTGACAAAGGCAAGGACGAGCTTAATGACACTTCCTCATGGTACAGTTGAAACGCCGGTGAGTTAATTGGGAGAATAATAATTATAGCTGTGTTCAGAGTTAAATTTATTTTGTATTTTGTAGGTTTTTATGCCCGTGGGGACACAGGTTTGCATCATTTCAATGATTTGAAGGCCTCTAGATTTGATTAATCTCATTACTATTTTAATTACAGGGAACACTAAAAGGACTTCTTCCAGAACAATTGGAACAACTGGGCTGTCACATTATGCTTGGAAATACATATCATTTAGGAAACCGTCCGGTATGTACATAATTAATTATATAAATCTGTAGTGACACATGCCGCAATACTTATTTATTAAAGGTTTTTTAGGGAATTGAACTCATTAAGGAAGCTGGAGGGCTTCACAACTTCATGAATTGGAATCGATCACTGCTTACAGATTCCGGAGGATTTCAGATGGTATCACTCCTTGAGTTGGCAGAAATTACCGAAGATGGAGTAAAATTTAAATCTCCATATGACGGGTCAGAATGTATGATGGTGAGTCATCATGTTTTCGGAATTTAAGAAAAATTAACGATCAAGAGATTAAAGTTTTATGATAAATTATTTTACCATTTTTCTTTGTCAGACACCAGAACATTCAATTCAAATCCAAAACACCCTCGGTGCTGATATAATTATGCAACTGGACGATGTAGTCTCTTCTACAACAACGGGTCCAAGAGTCGAGGAAGCAATGCATAGGTAGTTAGTTGTAAATGTACTACATTCATAATATTTAATGGCTTAATCAATTTTATTTACAGTCATGATTTTGCAGAACAATAAGATGGTTGGATCGTTGCATCGCAGCTCATCAAAATCCAGAAAAGCAAAATTTATTTCCTATTGTGCAAGGAGGATTAAATCCAGAATTACGGAAAGCCTGTGCCAAAGAACTAATTAAGCGAGATACTCCTGGTTTCGCAATTGGTAACAGACAAACTACATATGTATATAGGCAAGAGGTTCAATATCAACTGGTTTTACAATATTTCTATTTGGAATACACAATTTCTCATATTTTTTTGCTTATTTTATTTTATTATTTAACCTCCGCTTATATACAAAATCACATTAAAATGAATGAATTGACCCTTATTAATTGTGTATATTCTGGTTTTCTTTAGGTGGATTAAGGTAAATTAAATATGCGCACATTCTTATTAATGATTATGTACAATACTCTTCATTTTCATTATAAATCAATTTATATGACATGATATTTTGCAGCGGAGGTGAAAGTAAAGATGATTTCTGGAAGATGGTTCATATTTCTACGGATATCCTTCCTAATCATAAACCTCGGTATTTAATGGGCGTCGGATTTGCTGAGGATCTCGGTATGACCAATGTGAAAATACTGACTTTGAGATGCTTTATCATTTTTCAATTTACTGTAATTGCTCGTATCTATTGCAGTTGTCTGTTCTGCTTTAGGATGCGACATGTACGATTGTGTCTTCCCTACAAGGACTGCTGTAAGTTGTTTTATCTCTAGTATTGATAGAAATTTCTCAGTCTATAAAATTACAATTAATTTGTACAGAGATTTGGTTCGGCATTGACTTTCACCGGCCAAGTTAATTTAAAACATCAAAAGTTTAAAAATGACTTTACTCCTGTTGACCCGGAATGCCCGTGCTCCACTTGCAAAACCTATACGAAAGCGTACATACATGCAATTGCAACGCATGAAACTATGGCTTGTCATTTGCTAACTGTTCATAATATAACATTCCAGGTGAGCCTCATTTTCTGTTTTTTGTATGCCCAATTATTACAGTGATTTGTCTAATTTGGTTTAGATGCGTTTAATGAAAAGGATCAGGGAAAGCATAAAAGAAGCAACATTTGTTGAATTTGTGCGTAATTTTATGTTTGGTCTCTACCCAAGTAAAAATTATCCAAAGTGGTCTCAAGATGCTTTGAATGCTGTGGGAATAAGCTTATTGTAGATTATACTTCTACATATTTATTCATGTTCATGACGAAATAGTTTTACATGTATAGTCCTAGAATTTTTCTAAAATTTTAATAAATGATCTGCGGATTATCAAAATCAAAATTAATCTGTCAATTTATCAAATCTAACGATAAGTTTGTATGTTTGTCACATTTGTTGGGCATTAAAGTAGTAGGACAAAATCCGAAACCATTTGCTTTCCCGTTCCGGACGACACTTCAGATGGTAAATCACCTTTAAAAATAAATCACTCCATTCCGCTCTCTTAGAAACTCCTGGTTCGTTAGATAGTCGGAGTGGATTCGCCGCAATTTGTCATTTGTTGAAACCAACAAATTCTTGAGTGAATCAAATCCACTTATTTCCCAAACCCTGCTGGTTATTTTCTTTGCTGGAAGAAAAATTGGGTACACCGAGTCCGCAGGCAATCCGTATTGGCATCCAACCCAAGATTCAAGATTCAATTTAATGCTGTGAACACGAAGCCAGTTTAAAAATGAGAGATAAATGGTTATTGAGTTTTCATGTTTGTTGAAGTTGATTTCATACAACTTTGTATCATGAAGTTCGATCTGAAGCTCTGTGTACTGCAGTCGATACTGTTGATAAATTATGAATTTCCTGTACACAAACATAATTACAAATAAATGTTATGATCAGACATTTCTGCGGTATTCGAGATTATTACTTGATTTCATTTTGGAAATTGCTAGCTTTCAATGAAGCACTGTCATCTTCATCAGTGAAAAATACAAAGATTTCGGATATCTAAATAATACGAATAATTAAATGACCTGCTGGCTCGTCGTTTTTGCAACACCTTCACCAGGCTGTCAGTTGCAGCTCATATGCTTTCTTTGTAGGGTGAAACATTAGATTCGTGTTATGAAAAAGTGTCACAAAGTGAGACCAACAGATAGAAAACAAACTCCTAAGAATAGATTTGAACCATTTTCTTTACTCATTAAAGCCATTCACTCAGCAAAGTGAAGAAGATGTACTTCGGAGAGATGAAGAAGGGCGAGTGTGGAAGATGAGACAGCTCCAAAAAAGACGAGGGTAGATACAGACGAACAAATGAGAACTTCTTGCTTGGGAGACCCGGATGGTTTAAGTTGGTTGTGATAATTATATTTTAAAACCTGTCACACTCACACCTTTACTGGCATCCTTCATTTTTTGCAAGTCAAGCGAGACCATGAGAGTGTCAGTATGGTGGTGGGAGAATAAAAGATGAGACTCTCCCGTTCCTTGCTCACATTCATACTCGCATTCCTCACCGATGATACAAGCGAAAACATCTTCTGTCTTATTCCTACCCCACATACATATTTGTATGTATGCGCATGCATGTTTACTTACGGTGTGCAGACTAAAATTATTGAACATGGTGCTCAGAGATATTATTACAGATATACGTACTTAGGATTAGCTAGACGGGACCAATAGTGAGTAATAACTGAAATGAAATGTGTTTCTTTTTCATACCATGAACACCAAGAAAAAATCCTATCTGGTTGAATTGAAGGTAACTTCAAAAGCTGCCATTTTCCGCCTCTATCACCCCACCCAACACAAATGTGTGATTACAATTGAACCAAGTTTCGGCTCCTCCCCACCGTTCCCAAGTTTTCACTCTGTTGCACACGCAGTGAAAGAACATTGTACATGTGGGTTTTTTTTCTAGTGTTCTTCTCATGAGTCGACGAAGACTGTGCAGAATATGTATATGAACGAGTTGATGCGCGGATATCGGAACGGGCCATGAATACGCGTATATCTACAAAATCCTCCGTGTCCTGCCCACCTACAAGGATGCATAAACACATACCTATCCTAATGTGATGTGGACAAATAACTTGTACTAACTAACTCCCAAGTTAAGAGAATGGGAATGACGACATAATATTTTGGAGCTGACGACGACGCTCTCATCCAAGATACTTGGATTTGCTCTTTTGCAAAAAGTTGTTGCAGCAAGATCACCGATTCGGATTGTTCTGGACTCAACCAAACCACATTCTTCCATTTGTTCGGATCTCTCTCACCAGACACTTAATCTAAGTAACACATTTAACAATGGTAAGCCTTGAACTATGTCTTCTAGTGAAGGTTAAACAAATATTTTAGCTATTTTTTTACGGAGACTTGAATTGCTGAAAATATTAGTCGCCTTTCCTCACAGAATTTCTCTGAGATTAGAATTTCTCCTTTTAAAAATAGAAGCATAACGTGTAACAAGTGGAAGAGTGAAAGTGATACATGAAACTTGCATGAACTTGTGCACGAAATACATAATGGGGCAAAGTTAGATTACTGATTTTCTCTGAACTGTTGCTCAACTTTCTTTTTTTTATTTGTAGGCTGATCCAGAGAAGGAAGCGAGTAAGTAGAAACAATGGAGTTTTTTATGTTGCTCGAAACCATCTCCCTTGAGTTAGAATTATGGTCTTCACTCTCAAATTATTTTCATATTTTTAGTGTACCTGAAGGCATTTCAGATGTTCGACACGGGGAAAACAGGTTTTATAGATGCCTCTAAAATCCCAACAATTCTAAATACACTTGGGCATAATTTTGTGGATGAAGAATTACAAGCTTTAATTGAGGGACACGACCCAGAAAGTAAGTTAAATTAGCCTTGATAACATCTCTAATCTGCCACACACGGAAATTGTAAGAGCATCATTATCGTGAAAGTGACGCCTGATTTTATCTAAACGCATAGCGTGAGATGAGAGAGAGGGAGAGAGACTGGGCATCAAAGACAGTAGTCACAGTTGTCTCAGTCACTTCAAGACTCGTCAGCAACCTTGCCCTTCCTTGATTTCCCCAGATAATGATATGAACGCACCTCCGACCAAACACGTAGAAAGTTATTCCTCTTCAATCCAACTTTTTTCGAAGGAAATGAAAATGTAGTGTTAGTGTTACTCGATCCTTCTCCTCCTAAAAGGAAATCGGCTTAAGAGGCTCGAAATATATGAGTACAGGAACAATAATAAATACGAATAAGTTTTAACTATAGGACGACCAGGCGCCAAGAGTTGTCACTCAAGTATTTTAGTCGTGCTGCAGATCTCTTGCAGAATCATACCTTATTATTAACCATTCATCATAAGCCGTTGGAATTTAGCCAACGGTTGTAGCACAAAAAACTTTACGCCATGCATCCACTCGTCGTCTGAGATGTAACACAATGTCACAGACGCTTGTATCTGAAAATGACCTGAATCCCAATATTCATAGTCACACTAGTCAGTTTCAGCTGTCAGCCAGGTAGCTTCGGATATGTGTTGAGATATTAAACTAAAGAACAAGCGATCCATCCAAGTGTGAAGATAACATTCCCCATTCTTCCCACATTACGGACTTCTTTGCACGTTGGAATAATAATATTCTCTGTAGCTGGTTCTGGTTGATCGTTGCTGACGGATGTACTTACAAAAATATACCGTGCATTTGTAGGGCAAGCATAAAAGGACAACTTCTGAGCTGCTGACAGTATGAGTCACATGTATATGCTCAAGAATATGTTTAATTTCTCAACAGAAACTGGGAAATTGAACTTTGATGCCTTTTCTGAGATTGCTGGACATTTTCTGGAGGTGAGTAATTTTTTGCTCCCATAGCACGTCAGCCACTCCCATGGGGAAAGTACTGCACATGGCAGACGCTCGTCTCATGCTGCCCCATGTGCGCTTTGTATAGTTTTGCTTTCACTTAGGGAACTCCCCACCCTGCTCCTCCCTCCCGATAGCTCATGCACGAAATCATTGAGAGATTGTTCATGCACTAATGTAATTATGCTCATTAAAATTCCAGGAAGAGGATGATGAAGCTATGCAACAAGAATTAAAAGAGGCCTTCCGTTTGTACGATAGGGAAGGCAAGTTTACCAAATAACTTGTATCATACGCAGGAAAAGTAACCATAAACTAAATATTGACAGGAAATGGATACATCACAACGGGAACATTAAGAGAAATTTTAAAAGCCTTAGATGGTAAGTAATGTGGTGTGATTTTTTAGTTGATTCTGCACACGGGTGACGCGAAGAATATGAGCATGATGCCTACTAGCAAATTTTAACGAATTTGCTAGTTCATTCAAAGTTTTTGCACTTGGGGTTGCCTGTGGAATTTAATGGAATTACTATTACTATTAGTAATTTGATGGTAATTAGCATAAAATTACTCCCACCAGGCAACCCTCAACTGAAAAACCTTGCTGTTCATTTATATATTTTTTGCGTAATGAGTGTAAAATTAATTAATTGTGCATGCATACATAAGTAATTTAATCGTGTAACTTGCTCACTTCAAAATTTAAAGACCGAAGGTCGAGAAACAAATCTTTGCCAAAAGTTTCTGATCTATGTTTCTCGGTTCTCTACTTTTTGTGTGTATATTAGACGCATACATTTTATTTTCTTGTGCTTGCATACGATTGAATGAAATGTGCGTGCATACCATTGTGCATTAACTAACTTTACTTTTGGTTTTAGACAAACTCGGACCAGACGACTTGGACGGTATTATTGCTGAAATTGATACTGATGGTAAGTACGGACGGATTTATGCCATTACTGGTAGTTTTTTAACATTTTCTTAATTATTATATTTAGGCTCTGGAACAGTAGATTTTGATGGTAAGCAAGTTTTGTCATCGTCTGTACTTTTGTAGACTTTATAAAATTGCACACATCGTCTGCCAAAATGTTGAAGGCCGTGGGAAATCATATTACAAAATAATTTAATCTTTAATCGTGAATATGCATTCAAGTTCCATTTTGAACCAATGGGGAGCAATTGTCTCACTCTGTCGAACACCCACGCTGATTAGGGACCTCTGATTTATTTGTCACTAAAATGTTTACGAGGGTTTCGGATAGAGTAGGTTGAAAGAATTTCGAGCCTCTAACCTTCTCCCCATTACAACATTACTTTGTCCCAGCGAGACGAATTAGAGTGTGTATGTATTTGGCAGACATGTCGCAATAAAATAAAAATCAATCCAGATTATTGGCAGAGATTGCCAAAATCAACAAAATATTCATCTCAATGTTGCTTATCTTTTTTTGCAGAATTTATGGAAATGGGGAGTATTATATATTTATACATTTACTATATATTTTTATTTCATGCAAATCATAAAATACGAGCAAAATTAATAATAATGAAAATAATATAAACAGATGACGGGTGAATAAAATGCCAGGACATTGTCAAGTATTAGACCGAGAATAATGTGGATTTTGGATTCAACCCAAATCAGTTCAAATTCAAGAATCAACATTTTGTCATGCATGCGCTTTTTCTATGTTGAGATCAGTAAGATTATTATTCATCGTCCATTCGTACACAAGTCTGCACAAAGTTCTCATTACATCTTCACCATTTTTCAATCCCTTTATCAATACTTCTTAGAACAACTAAACACATGAGTGAATCTCGTTCAATTTAACCATCAAGTGAAGTTCCGAACTGCCAAAATTTTGTCAATACTTTCTTCGATCAAATTTTATTCTGTCATACTAAATTATGTTACGTGTGATTCTTAATGCTGTAAATATATGTCTGTAATTCAAGCAAAAGTCCACAAGTAAGGTCCCGAAAGTTTGAAATAAAGATGCCTTATACATAAAGAACTCGAGTACATTTTTTGTCGTCATACTGCTGTTATGTAAAACAGTTACATCCTTCAATCTTTTGTCCAACAATAATAACATAAAATAAATGATACTAAACTGTTGGTTTAGAGTTTAACCCCCTAATGTGGGTGGGTTACCTTGGCTTAAATGAGACAATTGGGGGATGTCACGCTTCTTCCTAACTGCTAATTTACTTGACTTTATAATGTCTAGGTAACGCCTGGATCTCTTAAAGAGTGATAGCACGATTGCTTGACATTAAGTATCTAGGTAACGCTTCTCCCAATATTATTTGACACTTTATCATTCTATGGGGCACCACCCCATAGAAACGATGTCAGTTAATCGTGCGCTTCTCCCTTAAGTGATAAGGTGTCAAATAATCTTGGAGTATCAAGTAATGTTATGTAATCCGAAGAGTGAAGCACTTGTTCAGAAATCAAAGTCTTTATCTATATGTATTTTTTGTCAAAGTAGAATAATGTCAATCAATTTACGGAATTCAACCCCCGACGACCCGAATACCCTCTCAAACGCTTTTGGTCATGAGTACAAAAATGATTACAGCCCCCACAACTCCAAGTCACACTTTCACGGGTCAAAGTCTGAACACAGCCGGCATAGCTCGACGTCCCCCACTGGTCGTAACAGCGTTCACAACCATTTTTCGACTCGGTCGAACTCTAAAATTCGTGGTAACAGCACAACTGATCATGACCATCATGACCACCACCACTCCCACTTCCACGGACGAAGGCACAGTCGGCGTCACAGTAGTGCAGACTACCATCATGACCCGCAACGCCAAAGCCATGGTCATGAACACCACCACCATCATCATCATGACCATTCTCACGATCGGCACTCGCATCACGAGCACCATCATTCGCATCATTCCAACGAATCGGATATATTCTTCATGAGTAAATAATTATTCATTATATTTAATAGCCATCACGGAGCCATAATCCACATATATGCTACGCATTTTAAAGTTCCGAGAGGGGTCCTAGTACAGTATGGACCATACACATTTCATGGCGTCTGCGACTTTCGAGTTGAGCGTCTGCAAGGCTTGCAAAGTTTGTGGATCTTTATTTTTCATTAAAACAAAAAATTCAGTATAGTTAAAATAAGTGCATGACATTTTTTTACAGAAGTTCTGCAAAAAATGGGAGCCAAAGTGAAAATGATTCCAAACACGGACTACGTGAACCGTGTACATGTTTGGTATATGGATGCTGTAATTTTTTCTTGCAAAATTACTGATTTTCAATTCGGTGGGGATGGGGAACTGGATCCCCTGTGCGTACACGTAGCACGGGCTTTCGATCACGCGACAAGAAAATCGATTCACGGTCTCCGGAACAGAATTCGACTAGATGCTCATGAACAGTTTTCTTCTGGTTTGACCATCCTAATATACATAATTGACGACAATTGTGTCATTGTTAACTTGAAACACGATCATAATTCGGATTGTTGTTTAGCACATCTCGACCCACATCTGTACAGCACAGGCCACTCTGCTCACAAGATTAAGGACGAGGAACACAATAAGAACAAGGAAGTTTTGGAAAAGAGTAATACATCGAAAATAGCTGACGGTGATGAGGAGGATCACGACGAGGAGGAGGAGGAAGAAGAAGATGAAGACCAAGAAGATGAAGATGAAGCTGATCAGGAAAAGGAGGACAAGTTCCAGGAGGATCTTTCAACTTTCACTAATTTCAACTATGATGAGAGTTTAGACGATGATGACGACGAGATGCCTGACAATTACTAATATTGTTGCGTTCAATTATGTCATCCAAAAATTAATCCAAACATTCAGAATAAACTCAAAGATCGACAAATATTCGGGTGAAAGTCTTCACATTAATCTCTACATACATACTAATAGTATGGATATTTAATGTCGTCCGTCGTCTGGTGTAGTCCTCTGATTGCGATTATCGTCCCTGCAAGTGCCATTCTAGAATTGATGCCTCCCTACGAGCAATTGAGGTTGAAAGTAAGGTGGAGAAAGTGAGAGGGGAGAAAGTTCAGAGCTGCGACGTCCGTTGTTGCCCCAGGGAGAAGGGTGCGCGGATGGGTGAGAATCGCAGCAGCAGCACAACAACAATCTCTCTCTGCTGATTAGATAGCACTCGATTGTTATTATTGAGAGGAGAGTTGAAGCAGAAGGGAGTTTATTCAAAGACACATTTAATTTGTAATTGCTGCTCTGCTGCATTTAGGAAGGGAAATCTGTCCAAGTTCTGTGCTAGATTTACTCATTCTTAATCCTCCCAACTTCTCCCAACTAGAGTCCCAACAATTGGTAGTTAAATATTTATCAAATATACAAATAGGTCAACTAAAAATTTTGCGCTGTGGCATCTCACTTTCACGTGTAGTGCACTTGGGAATTCAGATTATCTGATTCATGTTCCCATTTGACATTCAGCTCGACTCGACAACAGCAATTAAGAAATTTATTAGCGTGAGTGGTGTGTCAGTGCAGAACATTCAAGGCAATTAAGTAAGGTACTTATTAAAATATTTATATAGGGTTTTTAAATGAAGCAAGTTTTTGTTGTTTTATTAATATGATATTCGAGGACATACAAAAGTCTAGATATTTACCATCAACATTATTCTTTTAACATTCATTGTGTCGATTATATTTTTTTGTGATTTAATTTAACTATAATATGAATGTTTGTTCTTGTGTGTGCATATAGGTCGACTAAATAAGTGCAGTAATTTAATTCCTTATTGGGTTAAAAAACTCGATGCAACCCAGCGAAGTGAAAATGCCATCCAATACACTGGATCTTGTAGACCTTTCTCGTCGATTAAAGCAAGAAAAATTATTTGTTGCGAATGAAAGGAAAGAAATTGAAGGATTAAATAGGAAAGTGAGTACATTTTTTACTACTTTTACTTTGAGCACGTACATATTTAATTATTGCATTTACAAATATTTGCTTTGAAGGTTCAAGTGTTATCAACGGGACTGCTTCATCAAACCTGGTTAACTGGTCAGAATCGATTGTCACTGGAAGATCTTGCTAAAGGACCGTTGTCATCTATTTTTTCTTCTCCTTTTCTATCTCCGTCGGATGGAAATGGCGATGCTTCTGAAAATTTGGAACTAATTCAAGCTCAGAAGCATATTCCTGCTCGTTCTTTGCAATCGTATATAGATTTGATCTCCTTACTACGAAATAACCCAGAGATTGTGGCACTCTGCATCAGTACTCATGAAAAAGAAAAATGTCACCTTGTACGCCCCCCAGGAATTCCAAACATTGACATGGGAGATATCCTCCAGGCAGTTTTAAACCTTTATGGTAAAAATCACAGATAAATTATTGACTCTTTCGTTTTGAAATCCTTTGTTGCAAAATTTCTGTAATGTTATTGTAGGCGGTATTGGAGCGCCACTTTTTGATGATAGCAATCTCCTACTCAAACTTCTTAGCTCATTAGCTGGACTTCAAGTGAGAAAGCATCATTTGTTAACCATTCGTTTTTTGTCCTTCTCCGTCGTGAAATTTTAATTATGTATCGTTGCAGTTGGTTGGAGTTGATAGCCCCCGTCGAGTTCTACGGCAAGGTTCCAGTGCTTTTAGTACACTTTACAAGTTAATTTCTGAAACCATTCCCTCGTCCCGTTTATTCCTCGTGGGTGCGCTTCATCACCCAGTTACACAGTTTCTTTCATCGTCTGAATTGCTTTGTTTGGGAAACGTACTGCCAACTGATCGGGATCGTGACGATATGCCAATGTTGAGAAATGGTGATGCTACCAACAGAGACATTGCGTCTTTAGATCGTACTGAGAAAATGGCAAAGCTAACTAAATTGTTTGTGGAAAGCATTTTAGACAACATTCACGCATTTCCAACAGGTAATGTGACCATTGCAATGGTCACACCACAATGCATTGTGGTGTACGATTTATAGTTTTATGAATAATTTTGTTTCGTTCTAGGTTTAGCATGGCTGATAAAATCTGTTCACACTCAATTAAGTGGCGCATTCCCGGATAAAGAAGTTAGCAAAATTTGCAATGATCTAATTTGGTAAGTAATGAACAGTTACTCAACTCTGCCCCGAAACTAACGTATAGTGCAAAATGTTGGTTAATTCTTGTTTTTTGATCAATTATAATATATATAAATGTCCTATCTTTTGTAGGGCATTATTTATTTGTCCTGCTGTGACAAATCCTGAGCCATTTGGCGTTACTGGTAATTGTATTTCTCGATTGAGTTTTTATTGCTTAAATGTTAAACCCTCATCCTCATGCAACATTACTTTTATGTAATTATTATTGAATTATATGAAAATATATTTTAAAATTTAGACACTCCAGTAGGAACGCATGCCCGTCATACACTTTCTCAGGTAGGAAAATATTTTTTGAGGATAATTGATAATCAAAATGTCTATGTTGATGATATTAGATATTATAAAGTTATCCTGCCTTTACTCCCGGCAGGTTGCTACAATTTTGCAAGCATTAGCGTTGCACCCGTTTGAAGGAACTGATCCTAGACTGGCAGAGTATATTTCATATTTTGACCCCGTATGTCATAATTTTTTCAAACAGATATGGGAACTTTTACAGTTAATCATCTAAATATAATGAATTGTAGGAATCTCTTAGTTCAGTTTTGGAACATGTGCTCAGCATTGATGGCTTGCCATCGGAACAAACTGGAGTAGTATCTTCTTTGACACGAAGAACTGTATTAATTCCAGAAAACCTTTTGCATCCTCTATTTACCTGGTTAAAAGAATGTCTTATTCTTCTTGAACAAAACGGGAAGCTAACGGATGTTGACATATGGCCAAATATGGTCAAGCTCACATCAACAGTATACGATAGTCAAGTGTCAATGTTTAACCTTTCAAAAGCTGCCAGTCTTGAAACAAAGTCCAACATCTCGCCAGTAAGTAGTCTAAGCTCAATTGCGACCATGAGCCCATCACATGCAGCAGCTAATTTATTGGCAAGTTCAAAGAAAGTGCTTCTGAATCGACGAGGTAATTCATTAATTGTTTTTTCCGCATCCACTTGTGTAATTCATCCCCGAAGTATATGTAATGGTGTTTTTTAAAATTAATTTAGATGCTAAACCTATCAATGGAACTGGAATCAATACGGAATCTGGGAATGAGACCCCCGTTTCTGTAGTTGTATTTCCTCTTACTCAAGCATCATGGGAGTGGTTGGGAATGCTACCCGAATCGGAGGTCATTTCATCTTCGAAAAGCAAACTTTTAAACGGAGGGCCAGACGTTGACTCTCTTCCCAGCCTTGAGGACCCAGATGCAGAAGAAAGAGATGACCGCAGTAGCATTGGAGAAAAGCGCACACGCTTCTCATTGTCTCACGATGAAGGATCCATCGGTTAGTTATTTATTGCACTTGGTTATTACATGATAGGATGTTAATTCTCACGACTAACTTTATTTTGCATGCATGAAATTATTTCAGGTGCAAGTGACAATTTGGAGGTGGAAGCTGTGTCTGAAGCTGCATCAACTCACAGCGTTTCATCTTCGATTGAACTCGAAGATCAAAATGATAATTTGTCTGACATGTTGTCGGGTAAGCATACTTCAATAATTAACCATAAATCCTACACTGCCCTATGCATATGTTATAAATACATATTTTTATGTATATTGCAGCAAATGTCAGCGGACGGGGTACTCCGAATGTTTCTGGAAGAAATACACCACTGTCACAAGCAGAACAAGAAGATGTTAATGCAAATAATAATGAGGCTCTAGATGATGACAATGACATTATTATGGATGAACCTCCCGGTGAACCACCATTGCAACAGAACAATAATCCTCCCAATTTGAATAATTTAAGTATAAATGGTCCTCGTCCAAATCCATCAAAACAAGCACGATCAGAAATTGAAGACAAATTTTGTAAATTTGAGATCAGAGGGTAAGCCGAATTAGTTGATATTTAATGAACGGGTCGCTTCCCCCTGCAACAAGACGACGAAATTCATTGAAATAATTACTGCACCAATGCATCTACTATTTGCAGTTTGCGTAATTTAATACTGATATATAATTTTTTCCAGAATCCCAAAAATGTTTGGTGGTGACGAAACCATATCTCTTGTAAGTGACACATGGTCAACGGATGTCCTTGCGAGTGACAGTGAAATGGGTGGTGACACGGCGCAACAGACACTTAATCAATTGGGACAGTTAAATGTTGGACATCGAGTTCCACCCCCAAACCCACCAGTGATTGAGTTGGCAGCAGTTGTTAATCAAGACTCTAACCTACTGAATAATGACACAATGTCCGAGGTTTGTTACAAAAACAGTGTGTAAATAGCCTTATGACTAATAACTGGACAAATTTAAACACAATTTATATTTAGGCTTGGTCTACGGATGTAGCTGCGAGCGATATTGAAAGACTAAATGATTTTGATACTGATGACACGGCCAGTGTCGCGCGATCCGAGACTGGTCGTTCAGAACTCGACGGAATGGCGTCATTTGACACTCCATTCAGAAGTTCTGGTGGGTTTAACCAATTAATTTGTAGACTAATATATTTGTATACATTTTTGGGTCAATAGAGTGTATGTAATTCTTATTTCTAAAATTCTTATAAATAGTCTCTGGAGGAGGGCCTTATCGACGGCCGGATCAGGAGCCAGATTTGCTCATGTTTGATGATATGCAAGCTCGAAACAATGAAGCTGCTGCAAGACATCCTGGGTCTGCTCATACTCCTGATTTATCGATACCTGTAAATTCCAATATTCTGGACACTCCGCCACAAAACGAATCACTACTACTTGCAGGCAATTCCCAATATTTATACATACTACTCCTTCAAAGTTCTAAGAGTAATTCTGAACTTAAATTTAATTTGCAGATGCTCCAAACTCGTCACAGTTAAGTATGTCAGGAGCATCGTCCAACTCATTGCAAACGCCTGGTAGTAGCTGTCGAACTGGTCCAATTCCAAAAACTATCAGTTTTGACAAAACCGCAGAACGAGGAGATAGAGTAATTGACTATACCTTAGTTTTATTTGTATTACTAAATTATTATGGTGAATAACAAATTTGATCCATCAGGAACATTGGGACGATGAAAATGGTAGAACAAAAAGGTTTTTTCGCAACTTCCGGAACCCATTTCGTGGAAGAAGTCGGAAAGGCAGAGGACAAGACGATAGGTTCATGGATTGGGAACGTATGCCTGAATCCAATCCATCACTACAAGTTCCAAAATTGAGAAAAAGCTTTTCAGAAGATGTTGGTTCCCCATATCAAAATCATCGTACGTCCTGCTTTATTTATTGTACATTAATAATTTGTATCATTGCAATTGTAAATTGTAACTTTGTTAATAGCTCTCAATGAATCTTCTGATGAAATCTTGGCAAAGTATCGTAGGAAGCCTAGCCTCACTGATAGCAATAACGACAGTCCATTATCTGCGAATCGCGATTCCATATCAAATAATAATACAGCAAAGCAACCATCTGGATCAACCACATCCGTCGCTCGGAAGGATTCTTTAAAAATTAGTCGTTCAGATTTAATTGTTGATGCTCGAAAAAAACTTAGAAATGTTTTGAGCAACTGCGATCTTCAGGTTTCTCAAGTATGTCGTACAGTCATATAAATTAATTGATATATTATTGGGGTATTGGCAAAGGTTATATGTCATTTTTTTTTACACATTCTAGACTGCTGATACCACATCCATTGACACGGCTATGGTCAATTTACTGAGGGTAGAAATGGCAACCGCAATTTCACGGGGGGATCAAGGTAAGAGACGACTCATAAAACTAAAAAAATAAAATTATCGGACAAACTTTAACTTGTTTAAATAATTCTTATCTAGTTACTGCGGCACACTTACAGGCGAGTGGTATTATTTATTAATGTTTGACAACTTGACAATTAAAACCTATAAAGCAATAATTTTAACACCGTGACAAAAAGCGAAACATGAAGGGAAAAGTGTGATTTTTATGAAAAGCGTTGACGACGTGGGTCTCACTTATTTATTTAGTTGCATTCCTAAAAATCTTAATATCTATATCCAACCTACTTCAATCATTGAACTACTGTGGTACTACTGATACTAGCTTGAGTTACACTATCTGAGTCCCCTTATTAACGTTTTATACGAATTACCAAAAATGCCATGTGCTGTTTGGCGTGACATGAACTGTACTAATAGAGGGATTAATAATTCGAAAATACCGTTTATAGGAGGCGATGAGAACTGTAAAACAGTTAGGAAGCGATGGGTGAGAATATTTTAATTCTTTAAATAATCATACCTGCGTAATTTTACCAGAAATTTTAATTAAATTTCAGCTGTCGAAAAGTGCTGAGATTGATGCGAGATGACTACAGACGTCGCAGTGATTATGTATCTTACCTCATGAGAGCAAAGCAGGGTCTTTTATCAACTATACAGTTTCTCGAAAGAGCTACTGTCAAATCAAAACATGAGGGTGACACATACTCTCATTATTTCATCAACGAGTTTATTCGGATATGGCTTGAAGACTCGAGTCAAGTTCACTTAGTTGAAGAGTTTGTAAAAGAATTTATATCAACTAATGCGACTGATGAAAAAATCGAGATTCTGGAGACCTTTCTGTGTACGCTTTTGGATTTATTTATTGGACAGAAAGGTAGCGAAAAAAATTAGTCAGTAGTAAATTTAAATTTAAAATGGACTGCTTAATTACAGAACTTACCGAGTGGCAACTTGGTAGAATGGAAAATGCGTTGGAACAAGTAATAGTTTCCAAAATATACACGCACGCATTATTTCCCAACGGTGACGCAGATACACACAGGGACGTGTAAGTGCTTATACATAGCTGATTTCGATTTGCATAGATAATAATGATTCTTTAAAAAAAATTATTTAGGGTTTTACACGAGCACATTCGACGATTATCTGCGATCATAAGGCCAAGCCATAAAGATTTGAGGTCAGCATTATGTCAATTCAGAATCATTTGACAGTCAAGTATCGCAAAAATTATTTGTATACCTCTATTTGACTTTCAGAATTCCAAAATCGCGACTTGGTGAATGTCCGTGGCCCCCTGCACAACGAGAATTGCAAATGTTGCCTGCTTATAAAACTCCATCAGATAAGTTAAGATGTGTGGTTCGGACGTGTGCACTTATAATGAATCTATCGACGGAAAGGGTTGTCGCAGCAGACGATTTTATTCCTGTGTTGGTTTTCGTTGTAATTAAGGTAAAATTTTTCATGCATTTTAAAGCTTGAACTAACTATTGCTTAACAATTTATAACTATTTATAAAATGGGATAAGTCAGATAAATAATCAACCTATAAGTTCACTTTACTAGCTACCCTTCTACCTACTTTAGTTCATAGATACACTGATTAATTATTATGAGAATTTTTTTATTTTCTGATTAATCTAGTGTAATCCACCTGCGTTACTGTCTACCATCCAATACGTAAACAGTTTCTGTGGAGTAAAAATTACTGGAGAAGATCAATATTGGTGGACGCAATTTTGCTCTGCTGTAGAATTCATTAAGACGATGGATTACAATGAATAATATTCTGCTTTCGTAATAGAAGGTTGTCAGTAACAGTGTCATTAATGTCGATATCAATTATGTTCCCCAGTAATTGTAAAATTCAGTGTTTCATACATGAATTATTTGTTGTCTATCATTGAAAAAATATGTAATTAAGTATATGATTAAATATTTATCTATGTATGTGCTAGCGTGTATAGATATACATATGTATGACCGTGTACGTGACGAATAGTGTTTTTGAGTAAGTCGATAATTAACAGTTGTCATATTTATAGGGCTTGATTTAGTTTACGCCAGATAATGAAAGCCAATGGAGAAATTATAATTATGCGCTTATTCGGACAAATTCTTATTTCCTGTTGTGTTGTAAAATTAATTAAGATTTATAACTGAAAAATAAATTTTAAAAATCATTTAAAATTGTTCTTTTTCTTTCTTTATTCTTCTCATTCGAATAACAGTTTGGTGTAATATAACTAGTTTATGCATTTACTTATTGGTGACATTTAGTCATTTTTCATGGCACCAACTTACACTTGATATCATATAATATATGCAACTATATGACTACATAATCATTTTTATGCAAACAGTAAAGAGCTATTTAATCGTATGCACTTATGCTATCGTATATAATACTATACTCATCTACGCTATTTACACAGTCGGTCTCGTACTAAATATACATAAGTGTAGTAATGTACAATAATATTAAGTTTCTAAAAATATTTTGATTTAGATCTTGTTGAGATGGTTCTTTATTACTTTTTCTACTTTATACGTAACAAATTCGCTCTTTGATGAGCAGCAAGCCATAAAATGAAACACTTTCATGCCATCCTCTCCGGTTTCATAAGGTACAATAATATACCTACCATCCACTTAATTTATTTGTAATAAATACACACGTATCACCTCTTGATTATTCTCGCAATACTGGATTGCAAAACAAATATGGAGACACCACCACCACCAACAACAACGTTAACAATCACCTTTGTTGGTGTTTTTTTTTGATGTGGTGTGGACGGTTTCTTAATTGGAAGAGTGTGGAGAAAGTCTGTGTGGGAAAACCACAGTCTCCACGCGACTATTTATTATAAGGCCACTTTCTTCTTTTGGAACAAAATTTCAATCGTATGTGTAATCTACTTTTAGATATGTGACAAGCATTTTTCTCCTCGTGTCAGTTTTCTCACCTAAAACTCTAAATGTATTGTCTATTCATAGCTCTTACTACAAGTGCTAGTAAATTGAGCAACATGGTGAACATTTCTAATATACATACATAAATCGTGAAATAGCCCAATATTTAGCTACCACTATGTGAAGGTTATTCATAGCAGTATGAACCTTATTATTTCACCAGCTTTTGTTTAAACTGGCCTTTCTTAAACTTACATTACTGAATGTCACACTTCTTGTCCCTTTTATTTACTCGGTTTTGTAAATTAATAAAAATAAGCCTACAAGAGAATTTTGCATGAGAGGAAGATTGCGAATAATAATCAGTCAAATGTAAGAGAGCGTTAAATGAATAATTTTTGTGATGTAAACAAAATCAGACTTGTGTATATGTAATATTGATAACAAAGTGATTATAATTTTACATAACTTGCCCAATTATGTATATTGTTACATATTATTACCAAAGGAGAGGAAATGCTTAGTCTCTACATGATGAAATATGGCAGAATATTAGACTGGATCATTATTGTCGTCGCAAAGTTGCATGATCCGATGGGTTTCGATTGGGGATGAAATGTGAAAGTATTCTTTTATTTCTATCCTCCCCACTTTCAAGCACTTTCCTCCTTTCTTCTGAACCTCGATACCCAGCTCGGTTGCTTTCCAGGTGACAAGTATGTAAGGACATTGGGGCTGGGAAAACACTGTGTAGTATTGTATTCAGGATGAAGAAAGTGCATTCCACTGGAGACTCTTGATAATAATGCATTGAACAAAGTTGGTGTCTTCGCCATTCTCAAAAACTTTAGATGAGTTCTTGCCGAAACTACATTTCCAGCGTTCCCAAAGTTTTGGCAATTTATTCAATGAAGTTGGATAAAATGTTTGAAATCTGTGTGTATGGAATGTAGATTTCTTTGATGTTTCAAGTGTATACACAGGAGGAGGATCTCATCCACCACCACCGCCTTGTGTCAACCCGCATCATGTTCTCCATTACGGTTAAGCATTTTTATCATCACTTACTCTCTCCCTTCGTCCCTTTTCTCTTGTCGGGTAGTAGAACTAAGGTTTGCGACAGAAAAAATGAATCAAACTTTTATTGTCAGCTCGATTCTCTTGGGAATGTAACAAAAGTCACTTAACACCTACACTTTCTCACTTTGTCCTCTTCCTTCCCCTGCTCAGGTATAAAAAAAGTTTAGTTTTTGAACGAAACACTTTACACTTGTAACTTTCGAACGCTACTTCACCCCAATCCCACTACTGCCACCATCACTGTTCGTATTATTGTTTGTTGTACCAGCAGCAGCAGAACTGCTACTGCTCGAACTACTGGAACTGGAACTATTGGTCACGGTGACGGCTGATGACGACGAGCCGCCGCCAGGCTGTGGAGGCACGGCTGCTGGTGGTTGATTATGACTATTTTTTGCATTAGGATCAGCCTTGGATTTTGCATTCGTGTAAATTATTTTACACTTGGTTCTACCATCTAAGATTTTTTTCCAAAGTTCAAATTGTTCATGGTACGCCACCTGCGAGTGTAACATTTTACATTAATGCATAAGTTCCTGATGGATTGGCCAAATAAATCATAATTGCATACCATGTGCATGCTGATGAGCCTGGTTAAGGCGCAGAAGCCTGTTTTGTGAAAATTGACCTAAAATAACATGCATGCATTCATTAATTTTGAATTCTCAATCGATTTAAACCCATTATTATTACGAATAAATGTTACTGTACCTTCTTATTTGCAAACTCTGGAATGTTCACCTGAAAATTGCAATCATAGTACTCAATTTATTTCTGGAGCTCAGGATAATATATGTATATATGCTTTTATTTGTATGTTTTAAGATGCGACTCACCCTCTTTATCTTGAGCTCCTGAGCTAATATCCCGGTTGTGTAAACATCCTCGAGTTTCAAGTAAGTTTTCGTCATTCCTGTAATTGAACAAATCATGCATATCATGTATTTTTATAAAATAATTCCTTACGGGAGGAGTGTGAAGATAAAGGGCATAGACCAAAAGACTTGAAGCTAAAACCTGGTGCGGTCGGTACCATAAGGATGAGCATATAGTTAGTCTTCAGGTGACTACCCTGCTACCCCTATTCCTAAAGGGCCCCACCGCTAATCCTAAGTCGTCCCTCCCCCGTGCGTGGTCATGTATGCAACTAATCTAGTCATGGAGCAGGATAAGGAGTGGGGTTCCCCTTTCCCTTGAGACTTGAGGGGGTGGCTAACCTCTCCTCAAGACGAAAATTTCTACAAATGAATCATCAGTTTTAACCTCTCGCCCAACCTGGAGCTTGGATTTGTATCCCTGAAGTGAAAGAAATAAAGAAAGAAGAAATAAATAGTGAAAGTCCGTTTCATTTTCATCGTATTGGTCGTGTCATTGTTTTCTTCATCAATCAGCAGATCACTTTCCTGAACTGAAGGGAGCTAGAGCAGCCGACACACAAACTCTCCGACTTTCTCCATGGCTTTCTCTTCTCGAAGGGAGCGGAGAATTAGTTGGGCTGTTGTTGGTGGGTTGGAGATGGGGACTTTTATGGAGGAGGAAGAAAAAGGAGTGAGTGAGTAATGACTCCTCGGACGGCGAGGAAAAGAAAAAGTGAAATGAAAGGCTGAGTGAGAATGAATTGGAGAGCAAGTAGCTCATAGGAAATCAATACGATTAATACCTCATGAAAATGGCTGGTTGGTTGGTGAGAGGAGGGGAGAGATATCAGCATAAGAAAATCTAAAGGCAGCCTTGTGACAAGGTTTTCTTTCACAGGCAAGGATATGCAATAATAACTGTGTAAGTGCGACTATGCAATGCACATACATACATGCATTTCCACGTAGTAGTTTTCTACTGTATATGGGGAAAAGTTGCTAAATCGATTTAGATAATATGTTCTCAAAGCTCAAAGTTGCATTCACTCATTCACATGAGAATACATACTTTCATCATATTCGTCATGGATGTGGAAATGCACGACGACAGGATCATTGGGAGAGAAGAAAGCGAGAGGAAAACAGAAACTACTTATGTACAGAAGAACAATCAAAAACATTAAATAATGCCATTGTGATTGGTGATGGTGACCCTTCTAGATTACAAGAAGACACTCAATTAACACGTTGCCCTCTTTGTTGATCTCTCAATTTCCAAATAATGACCTTGTTTATGGTTATTTGGAATATGTGCATATGTATAACCATTTATACACTGATTTGTTTAAATAGGCACACATTTTTTCACATTTCTCACAGTAAGCTCATTAAAAAAGAGCTCTTTTGGTTTTTAGTTTCTAAAAGCTGCCATTTTTGCTACTCCATTGTTGAATGAACCGTCAGTAAGACTAGGCAATTGAGAAAGCATGAACAAAGTTATCATAATAGTTGTAATAGGATTAATCAATTAAATAGTTTGGTGAAAGCTTCTTGGCCGATACGAAAAGGAATCTCACTCTGTGGTATTAGCTAATCTTGAAAACACGTTGGGTAATCTCAACATTCGGTAGTTTCATTTACTCACCTTTCTCAAGAAGGGGTCGAACCAGACGCGTGCTGAATAGGTAAGCAGGTCCTGTGGGTGAATAAAGTTTTTACTCAAATTAGGTTTCCTTTTTATATTAGTCTCCGACTAATAAGCAATATCAACGTTAACATGAAAAGAAAAATATCGTGAGAAATATTTACCTGTGGTAAAATCAGGATAGACAGTCTGTTTTCCCAACGATGGAATGAACATAGAATGAAAGAGACATTGCATATTGTTATTTTTAAAAGGATTAATAGTTCATCCATTTGACTGGTCAATAATAAAATAAATTTATACCTTGCGGTACTGTTGGAATGAGATGTAGTACTTGGATTTCTTATTCCTTACTGGTTTCCATTTCCGTGCCAGTCGTCCATACAACTTGGGCTGCTTTCTGTCATCCCCCTGTAAACACAATCACCACCACGCTCAGCTCATTTCGCTCAAGAACGTAGCTTTCTTTTCTTCACACATTTCCGGAGCTTTAGGAGGAAATCTCGCTGAATGGGAGAGGACAAAAGCTAATTTCCTCGTTGGACTTATTCACAAGATTTATGGCTTTTCACCTTCTTGCCTTGTTTTCCCCAGTTTGCTCCCCAGAATCTAAATCGTATGGTAGCTTTCGTCTAAGTTTACTAAAGGAATAATACGACTACTCTGATGATGACTTTTACGACATCAAGGAAACACGATTTTAATTGGTATTTGTACAAAAGTTGGAGCTTTAAAAAAATGGTTGAATAAGAAGTTGAACCGAAAAACCATTGAGAAATATGCAAATCATATGCAAATACTTTTATTCATAAGTATAACGTACCTCAGTTTTGTCTATGAAGCTGAGCAAATTTGGCACATTGATAAACATGTCGTCATCAGTCTTAAGAATGTACTCTGACTGATTGCAGTAATTGTCAATCCACTCCAACGATGCCATAGTCTTCAGCGTCAGGTTATCATAAGAGTCCACGAAACTCGCCACAATCAGATCATCGTAAAGATGTTTCTGCAAATAAATTCGCAAATTCACGATAAGCATGTATACATATGTAAGTATTCAGAATAACCAGAAGATTGTCATACCTCCATCTCAATTCCATCTAGAATCGTGTCGTTCTCCGTTTTTCCTGTTGATCATTATCAGAGTCATCAGCTTAATTAGTATACATAGATATGTGCGTACATAGTGAATGGTTTACGACAATTTAATATAAATGCGCCATCTTTTAAATTACTGCCAGTGTATTGAATTGCTGAAGATTCAACTTTCAATTGAATATCATATAATAAAATAAGTGCCAATAACCAATTTAAGGACCAGTTTTTTAACACTATCGTCTTCAGTATATATCATTAATCCAATAATTGTTTTTTACAGATCTGTCCACTTGTTTGGTAATTTGGTAATTTTGAAAGTTGGTATACATTTCGTAACAACGTTAACTTTTGCATTGAATATGATACATTCGTTAGTCAATGTACATATGTACAGTACGTACAACAACAATAAAAAACATACAGATATGTGTGTACGATTTGTCACCCGTTCTACATAATAAGTTGGATAAACGAATATGACGAGAATCGGTCAGTAACGCAATTGGGACCAAATTGGTTTGCATAAAAATATTGTTTCAAGCCTTTTGTGCCATCTATTCAAAGCAGTGGATTTCGCAACATGTTTGCATGTCTTCCACAAACATCTTGTGTTGATAAAAGTCTTAGTGCCTATTGCTCATATAAATATTTTATCACCAAGTCTTGCATAATGATAAAGAGACAATTTACTTTCAAAGGATCATTTCTTTTAATGCTAAGATTAAAAGGAAATTAAGCAAATTGTTTTAAAATTTAAATTTTGCAAGCAGAAATTCGTCTCTAATTGAATCTTAATTGAATAAAATTGCCAATTGTTGTTGACTATATTGCGTGTACAGTTGCATTTTTTCTTGATTATTTCTGCTCATGGCATGTGCTACCAATTCCGACTTAAATACCAATTCCTCATTGAAAATGATTGACAAAACACATGTATAAATATACACACATACCAAGTACCTAAATAGATAAACAGTAATAATTGGATTTTTGTCTGCCTGTCATACAACTTCACATAATCGTTCAACACGCAAAATTAAAACTTAATTTATTTGCATCAGAATCAGTGGGAGCTAATAACTGATACTTATTGTACTTGCATTAATTTTCAATGAATATTATTACGCCATAATTTTCTTATTGTTAGTCGTGAAAACCGTCAGGAGAACATGGTAGCGTTATCACAAGTCTATCACTAACCATTGTTTTACCCGAGTGAAAAAAATGTATCAATAAGTATTGATTGATGATTTGATTCAAAGTGGTACGTGCCACACTGTCATTTTATTGAGCGAGGAGAATAACGGAAACCGCAATGGTTATGTATGAACGCAGAAGTTTACATATCTCAAGTTGGAGATGATGGCGAGTCAGCCAAAACTTGTACATGCATTGATGAAATAATGGTACACCAAACTTGTCTGCCTCGATTGTTGCTGGGGATGAACGACGGGTGATTGTGAGGACCACGGTAGTAAGACGCACACAATGTTTGCATGCAACATCCGCAAGGAATATTATTATTATGAACCATCGAACGGCAAATCAAATGCCACTTACTTCACTGGGTTACCTATATAAGTATTGACTCTTTCGCATCTCAACGCCTTACATTGAATGGTTTTGCGAACCAACCGCATTGTTATGTTGATTGGCTAGTTTATAAACAAGGTGAAAGTTACAGTTAGACGGAATCAAAATTGGTTTAAGGTTATCCATCTTTATCGCACAATGCTGCTGTGTGTGCATTCTTACTCTACTGCCTTAGTGAGGGATATTTAGTACACTTATTTCCCAAACCTATTCTCACCCCCTTGAAATATTCTTCTTTGCACTTATTGTTATGCATAAAGTATGTACGTCCACGTATTTAAGTAGGTATACATATGTATGTACATACGAAGTGGTGTAACTCAACTAAACACACAGAGTGTGTCTGTTTACTCTGCAAACATTCCTCATCTTATCTGAATGTGAAATTACTGTTCTCGCTGATTAACTAACAAGTGGAGGATGATTTAATCATAAATAAACTTCTGTCTCGCATAAAATACTCTTCTGGCTATAGTCCCGACAACGGAACTCTTTTCTTGCGTACATTAGCAAGTGTCAAATTCATTGCAGTGTGGGTCACCGCAATTTATATTTGCTTCCTTTAGCCATGAATTGCAGTTCAATGTTTGCTGTTCAAGTGGTAAAATATATTTTGACCTTACAAGATAAGTAAGTCAGGAAATTGGCACTTTGCGGATGCTCAAACGCCGCTTGTGACAAATCATGCGCAATAAAACAGGCATACATAATATAATTTCAACTTACCAATTATAAAGGCGATGGATACGTCTAAACGTTGTGCATAATGGCCCCAAGTAAGTCTGATTGCATCTCTGCTGCTAAAGTGGCCAGGAGCAGAAGAGATTAAAATGACTAATCGAATATCTTGCCCATCATTCGGACAGATCATAGGGTTTGGATCTAAGGAACATAGATAAAATGACGTTGAAGACTTTAATTTACTCACACATAATTAAATTATATTTTTAAATTTCTGTGTTAATTTTTTTCTGAAAATATTTCTGGAAAAGTTCGAGCAAAGGCAGAACCAGTTCCAGACCGATTTGCAATCACTCAAAAAAATGTGCCAATATCGACGAAACTTTTCTTCGTATCCGGAGTAGTATTTATAAAATTATGCACTATGTGACTACTAATCTTAAGTATGATACATATATTAACGAAGAGACGAACTTACATGAAAACCCCGACTCATAAATATCTCTCGTCCACACGGCATTCTTAGGAACATAGGCAGCAGATTTTATATCGTTGGTGGACGAGACTGTTTTCTTTTTTGTTAAAACTTCGTTCGGAAGAGTGGGATTGATTTGATTTGAGACTATTATTGAGTTAGAACCACCGATGGCAGCTTCCGCCTTCCCATTGGCAATCGTCTTACTGACCTCTGATATTGGCAAGGCTGAAACAACAAATTGTGCAAAATGAAAATTTACATGTCTCTTATGTAGAAAATCGCATTACAAGTACGCAAAATCGGAAGCACCCTTGTCAATATACAGATATAATTGTATAACCAGAAATAATTTGCGGCTTCATCATAAAGTTGCATCATCATTACAGATAATGAGCAGCAGAAGCTGACGTGAAATAAATGGGAAGCAAAGCAACATAAAGAACAAGAACGGAAAACATACGAACTAATAACACCAACCAAATCTGCAAAAATTTTATATCCAATTTACCTCATGCCATCCCAGTCCCACGAATTTCATTGTATTCCACTCAATAACCAGTTTCGCATAAAAACATGCAAACTCGACAAGCGGATGCAAGCCCAAGGTAAATTACAGTCTGACCGATTTACAATTTCTTTCTGAATCCCACATGATAACCTTCAACTCTCCACTTTTGCCCGTGAAATAAATAATAATTGGGAGGAACATACATATACAGCGATGGGTATCTTGAGGTCGTATTTACCCGACAGCAGAATATCTTGCCTTATTATTTCCCAGACATACAAAATAATGCAAAATCATTAAATCAGGAAAGTTCTGGAATAAAATAGTAATTTACGATTCGTCTTCTAGATTATTTTACTTGACTGAATATTGCGTAATAAGAGCACTAACTCGACATGCAGGTAAAACTTTGGGTTTGAATACATGAATAACTCGTCGAGTTGGAGAGTGTGAAGCATGCATAGCAGAATAATGCCCGCAACCACATGAAAAATGATTTATTCGCAGAGACTTGAAGAATTGTAAATTGCAAGATTTTAGAGGCGACGATATTGCGATGTACGTATGGTGACTTACCCGGAGAAGCATTTTGAGGTTGACTAAATTTTAAATCTGTGGGCTGTGATTGCGGATCCGTCAATACAATCGCAGCCCCTGCAGCTTCTGCTATGGCATTTGCTAATAGCTTGCTTTGAACCAATGTATGGTTAATACTGAAGCCCCCCGCCGGTGGCTCACCTAATAAAAATTATTACACATGAATGGCCAATCTCAATTACAAACAATCGTCTTCTTCTTCTCCTCTCCTCCAAATATTTCCCAAGTATTCCTCTGTCCTCATTTTTCATCTCAAGCTATTTATATTCGCCCTATTATTACATACGAACCCAAGTACCGAACAAAGGTATAGGATATGCACTAACTCAAATTGTCCACTCTAATGAATCACAAAACTACCCTCATTTTATCAAAGATGTAAAATACCTTTTGCATACATCTGCATTAAATTATTTAAATTTTGCATCAATCCCTCGAGCTACACGCACTTGTGTTCATGTAAACAAAGACTGTGGTCAATAATTTGTAGGCTCATATCGCCACTCTCTCAGACCTAACCTAATATTATAAAAATACCTTTATTGCTCGTACTGCTGTTGATAAATATTTGTTAAACGTGACTTGCACACTGTGTGTGAATAAAATATATTTCGCATCATATTTCAGGATGTCAAACGTTTTAAAAGAATTGAAGTCTAACAAATTGTGGAGAGAATTAAAAATAGCATCGCTGACATTCGAACTGTATAATTGCTAAATTATGTGCCACCGCAGGCTATGTCACACACTTGATTCGATTCAATTCCGCGTTTCGTCCTCCTTCATTCAAACTCTGGTGCCAATCCTTAAGTCTCTTAGAAAAAGCTTTATTAAAAATTACACACAACACAAACGATCTGAGACAACAAAGAAGCGTCGACACTCTTAAATGAAATGAACTGCAACAACAGTGCTTTTGCAGCGTGTTTGCTGGTGCTGTTTTTTTCAGCATTACATACGAGGCGGACATTACAACATTTTTTTCGATTCACCAGTGCAACTGTAATCTTTTTCTGTGTGAGAATGCATTGCATTGGGCGCTGAGTGGTTAAATATTGATACTTGTTTTGACCATGCATTATGTCGTGTGGTGTAAAGTGCCATCTTAAAGAATGACTAAGACTGTCTTTATCTTGTAATTGCTTTGTGGCAAATACATATAAAATTTTAACTGTCGTCTTGAAATATGAAGAATAAATTGCAATTTTGGCCGCTCTGGGTCATCAGGGTGACTAAGCTTATTCATTCTTTCGCAGATGAAAATGGTGATTTTAAAACCGAGATGATCGAGTGGTCATCATACCTCCATCAAGAGTCGAGTCCACATATGAGGGTGAGGTCAGGAATCTTTAAAACAAAATAATGATTTACAATAATATAAAAGTGTTGCGGTATTTATCTCAAGTAAAGTCATATCTACTCGATCAGTAGAACTACAGTAAAATTAGTGTTAAAATAGAACTCTTACGCGGAATACACGAGAAGAAGACCGACTACTGTCAAGACCATGCATGAGTGGACCATTCGTAGTCTCATAGTGGCCATCAATCATCTGAAAAAAAAATCATCACAGAATTAGATTCTTATCCATATTTACTGGGATTAATTCATCGCGTTGGAGGTGAGAAAGGTATGACACTCTTCAATCACAAGTAATAAATGCACGTGTAACGTGTGAAGTTTTTTTTCATTTTTTTCACAAACTCATTTGATTCCGTTACATATTATTTATTTCCATACGGATTTATATCTATATCGATTAACTTTGCAAGCAGTTATAAATAGCACATCTATACAGTTGAGAATTCGTCATATAAATAGTTTCGTTCCGGTTTTGTTTAATTTGCCACAATTTGAGTTTAGCTAATCATTTGAATATTTAAATCGCAAAGAAACTTGGACCGCTTTCCAATCTGACACGCTTAATGTCACGGCCACCATAAACCATGGACCAAACGGAAATTACAATGAATCCACTCGGGATGTCTGCCCATATAAGAAGATGAAGAACTAGCTGTACTTGACATTCGAGATGAATACGATACGAGGCTTTTCCACGAGAAACGAGTATTAATGAGATTTTAAATGCACTAACAGATAGTAGAAAAGAGATATAGGAGGAGGAAGGAAAGGTACTTGCGTACGTACGTATTTATATAATCGTCGTATGCACTGGCCAAATCGCACGATAGAGTGAGATACAAATTGCACACGAGATGAAAAAATATGGACAATGATCTACGATTTACTGCTACAATAATAATGAGCAAAAGTTTTAGTTTTTTTTACTTTTACAAGATGGATTTGCAAAGCCTGGCTGTTTTGTGAACGTGGAGTAGACAATGACCTTTCCGAATTCCTTGCTGCAGCATGGCAGCGTTCCACGAAATTATTTTATTAAACGCATTAGTCGCTGTTTGGCTTATCTCCCATCCCATCACCCTTCACTGCCTTAACATGCACTTTTTAATCGGGTTTCTTTGTTTGCGTGAAAGACATTTTTGCATCATCCAATTGACCTGTGTCATGAAATCTCAGCTATGCGCATATATGTATACATATGTATGCATCATGATTTAGTGTATAAATTATTGGAAACGCCAACCTGAACAGAAAAGAACTGAAGGTCGTTTCGTTAGTTGATCAGTTGATGGATCTTACATTTCAGGTACAGAAACTGAAACTGCATTCCACACAATCGTGTGAGATAATACTTACGTACGTACATACATACATTGTGGATTGTAATTTACAGTCACACAACATGCAATTGAAGACTACTGGCGACACGAGGATAAGAACGACGCAATAGAGGAGATTACAAGACTATGACGATGTAAAAAATTGTCTTTGCTGTAAATTCATCAAATTTTCAAGGTATATGCAATTCTAGTTTGACATGTTGTATTCATCAAGAAACGATTCTGCAGGGCTGAGACATGGACGGAATTTTCTGAACCTTATTCGAACGTATTTACGAATGATGTACGTTGAGAGTAAAGAAATCCAATAAAACAGCACAAATGCAATATACTGCTAATGAACGCAGCCTCCCCTCCACAAGTTTTTCTCATTTCCTTCCCACGTTGAACCGAAGAAAGGGAAACACTTTTTTTGCAACAAACAACAAAAATGCGACGATTCTACCTAATCCGCAAGCACAACTGTCAGAAATACTGAGCAAGTGCAGAATTGAAATGCTTTGTTATTGGTAGGATTACATTTTGACAGTAACTTTTATTTTCTTTGTGCTTTTGCTCTCGCATTATTTCCCCCTCAACTATATATGACTAGCTATTTTACGTGCATGCATGTACATATGTACGTGGTTGAAATCAGCATGACAAACGCGATGGTTAATTTTACAGGTAAAAACATACAATTCAATTTGAGTTTTTATAGGGTGCTGCCCTGCGTCAAGGTGGTTTGCGAAATAGAACAAAGGAGACTGAAAATAGAGCGAGCAAGTTAAACCAAAAGTCTGAAAAAACTGCATGGAAAATTTTATGATGTAATGAGCAACGGTCAAAGTTTGTACTTTTTTGCAAGCACTAATTATGCACTAAGCAAGAGGAACGGTTTTCCATCAAATTGTCAAAAATAATGATACCTAACAATACCTTGAAGGCTGTCCTATAATTATTTAGTTCCCTCTAAAACAAAGAACAATTCTGGAGAAACAGGTGAACCAGGTGTATTAAGACAACCTTGAGGCAATTAAAATTGTAGATTTGTGCGCATTTTGCTTCATTTTTTCGTGTGCTCTTAATGTTGGTATATATTTATTTTAACACTTTCCGTTGTACGACTTGTAATTTTAGCCAAATAACTTATTAGCTAATTGTTGACTTGATTGGTTTTCTCTGTATTTATATTTCTTACAAAAAGGATGTTTTACGCAAGATGGCAAGTAGTTGTCAATTCCTTCGTGTATTTATTGATTGCTCAAAACTTGGCGTTGTTGGTTAAGTCAAGGACTTGAAGACTACTTTTCCTTCATGCCCGTCTCATTCCCAATTTCATATTATGCTATTCTCGCAGTCGTTGTTTGATCAAAGACTTGAGTAAATGTCGCAAAATCGATCCTGTATGTAACTCATACGAATGATGTTTACCCAACTCAAATTAGTATTCAGTCGGAAAATGACATTTCTAAAACAGAAACGAGCTTTCAAGGTTTATTGACTCACTAAAGCAATCGCAGCCAATCATCTTACTAGCTGTCACCCTGAATCATTAAGCTTCAAAAATATGATATTTTTTACTTTTCAAATACAGAAATTTACTATATTAATGGTATTTACTTCATGATCACATTATGGAGCAAGATGCATTATAGTAAAATTCATATATTTTACATGTAGTTTCCTCCTAATCCAGAAATAAATTGCGATAAAATATAGCGATAGATTATGCATTTGCATGTACGAGCTGTTATGTATATCGAGGTGCATTTATATGCATGCATGCGCTATTCCCTATAATTGCAATCCAAATATGTACATAAATTACTGGGCACTATATTTTTTGTCTCCACGTTGCTTACCATGCTTTATTTGCAGAATTTGACAAGGGTTTGACGTTGATTATCATGATGAGTTGAGTAGAGCACTCAAAATGAAGTCCACATTTTGTGTATTGCATGGTCACAGATGATCACACAATTAGGACACTGTTTAAAATGCTCATTTGTTTCTTTGTGATTAAACGCATCGTTTAAACATGTTGGTCGCGTAGAATCAAAGAGCCTGCTACTGAGATTACAAATCGTACAGGTTTAAATTTAATGTATTTATGTAAAAGTCGGTAAGTTATAGAAATGGGGCAGAAAATTGGGATATGCCTGCAAGGCTCCCGGACACCTGATGCACGACAGCAATTTGGGTGCAGTGATCCAATATAAAATTCAAAATTACTGATGTTTTTTGAATGATACCACTTACGTACACCTGGCTCGTGCACGTTAGTAATGATTTGATGAACAGATTTAATCGGCAAAATTTGTGGAGGTAGAAGTGGAGGCCAAACTGGGAGGAATAAAACTGAGGAAGTTCGCTCTGCTTGGCTAATGTGATTATCTCGTGTGGGTGCATGTTTAATCCACCCAGCAAAAATTCCGAAACCGTTTGATCGATATTCTTGTGCTGCATGTTACCCAAACTGCAATATGTTACCTGTCCATATTACTACGTAACGTGTAGATGCATGTGTCGTGAGGAAAATCGACTCAACTCCTAACTGCCTGCAAAAATTGTTCCACATACACGTGAATCATCTACATATTCACCAGTGCATACACCCAATTTCACGTATCTCGAAAACTGAACCTTGAACAAACGGTTTGGCAGCAGGGAAAATGTTTGAATTGTAAAAATTGGATGTGAAATTATTTTACAATAAAATTCCAAAATGTCCAATTTGAGCAAATATACTACACAGAATGCACAACCTGGTGTGCCTGCGAGAGCCGAGACAGGCAGGTTAGAAATGGAAAGTGAAGCGCAAATGCTCACAATAAAACGACAATGACATTTAGACCTGGCTGGTGGGTAGCGGTAGCCAAACCTGAGAAGCGAACCTCTCAACTTGCCTTTCCCCCACTCCAGAACAATAACAACAACATCTTCGAACCCACTTATCGTACATTTTACTCAGTGCTGGGACCACCAGCTTCACCCGAATCGTAGGGATTACCTTATTCTCCTGGGAGAAAGTAAGGCTGCTGCCTGTGCTACCTCCAATTTTACCCATCTTCGCACCTTTCCATTACGTCGCTCTCACCACACCCGCTACAAAAAAAAACAGAGCAGACGAACCACCAAATTCATCCACGCTCACTTGTTTCCACGAGCAAGTTAAGATTGACTCTGGAATAAATGGGCTCAGTCACTTTGGAACGAGACAGTCTCTGAAAGTGAACCTATCCTGTCGCATTTCATTCCGTTGAATTACACAAACTAAATGCTCGATCTTGTGGTAGCTGCATGAATGTACATTTGGCTGGAAAGGCGTCGCAGTAGTGTCAAAATCAATCAGCCCGGAAGTGAATCGATGTTGCAAAGGAAATGAACTGATTTCCTTTTCCAAAGTGACTTCTTCTTTAATAGGAGAATATTTTAAACACAATACAAATACCTCCTCGCAAACTTGATACATAAAAAAGCGTTTTGATGCATCCTGTGACTGCACCTACCTTGGCGATCTAAAGCATCGTGCAAAGCGTGAACGTATATATTTTGCAGTACCGATAAACAAATGGTATGAAACTGATATATAATGTTGTGGGCGTATAGAGTTGGAATGCTTTATACTGTTCACCTATAGGAGTAATTATTTAAACATAAAACACATGTTTTAGATCATAATGTATACAAAATATTTGCATCATAACTAAACTCAGATAGCTAGATTGCTTTTTAAAATTTTCTGGATTCACAAACTTACTTATATTTAGTTTCCCAGTTTATGTTGGTTACAGTGATAAATTTTAATAATAAAAGTGATCTACTTTACTTTCAATTTTAATCAAGGTGACAGCACCAACAGTTGGAA